CTCTTCAAAATCCAATACCAACACCATTTTCTTGTATTGAATAGGCAAGGTGACCATTGAAAAGCTAGCAAAGTTGCTTAATATCGAACAATACGTTGCTGCTCAAGTGGTCGAAAAATCTCCTGATAAAACATGGACTCGAGTGGATGATCTGATAGTTACTGAGTAAGTGTTCTTCTTTTATTATTCACTCATTTAATAAAAACAAACAAAAAAAAATAGATCTTTCATTAGCAGTACTACAAAACATGTTCAGAAAGAATTGAACAAAGCAGGCAGTCTATCGATCGTGTCATTATCTCAAAGCATGAAATTACCTTATAATGTGTTGAAATTAGTGAGTAAAGAAGAAATTTAAGAAAAGAAGAAGAAGCTGATGAAGAAGTGAAAATAGACTTTATCTGCTGTGCAAGGTTACGTTCAGTATCCTCAGTTACCTGACATCATAATGACAAAAGCTTATGTGGAACGTGGCAAAACTCGTGTTGAAGAGGCATTGTCCGCGATTGAGGAGTACGTTTAAATAGATGTTCTTTATGACATTGACTCTATTTATATATATATACATAGGCCGTGTGCTCTATTCAAGGTACAGAAATCATTAGATATACCAGAGGATATCTTTTACTGTAAATATATATTATAACCTCATAAACACACTTACATACAATTATGTAGTATGGGTAGAACAAGCGATAAAAGAGAAAAGTTTGGGCATCATCCGAGGAAAGAGGAGTCAACGATTATTTGAACCTAAAGACTATAAGAAGAGACAGATCAACTTGTTAAAGTCTATATTTGATTCTAATGGATTCATCAGTAATATAAATTATTTATATATTGTAGGTTAAATTTAAACACATTCACTTCTTAGGCTTCGATACAGTGGAGAATCTATACATATTTAATAACGCTGTAGACTTGGTCAAGGATAATTACGACCCCGATTCATATTATATATTACACTCGTGTATTATCAAAACTCACATCAAGGATAGTGCAAAGGACGCATTACAGTCAATGACAGACTATTGTGATGTAAATGTAAGTTGTCATTTCATATATACCCTTTTTTCCTGCTCTAATATTGTATTTATATCAGGACGTGCTACCCAATACACTTACACTCGAAGATGTGAATATGGTTATTGACCTTTGTGTACAAGAGCTGGCCTCTACCAAAAAAATCATCATCTTGGAAAGCGGATATGTCACAACTCCTGAATATATCCAATCACTCATAGAGGAATGTCAGCATTACTTGTATAGTTTAGCTCAGCGACAAAAGCAAAAGGATCACAAAGGTCAAGCACGCAATAACAAGCATCGTCTTCAGGAACCAGCCGTAAGAGCAAGATGTGACATGTGTTTATCAGACCCCTTATATACTTTTTCTGTAGATCATAAAGGCACTAGAAGCTATCAATTGTCCGTATCATCTAGCAGAAAAAATTCTGCCTTTGGTTAGAAAACCATTGAACGACAGGTTTGATGAGATGATGCAGACGCCTTATACTGCACAGATTAAGATGGATGGTGATAGCTGGGTAGTAAAGCAAAAGTCAAGAGAGTATCAGACACTAGTAAGCATGAGAAATTCTATTTACTTCAATTATAAAGCCATTTGTCTATTCAAAGGTATTACTATGAACATTTTCATTTTAAAAGTTGCTCATACAACAACAACATAGATGAGACAGCAAGAAAAAGTCTAGAAAAATACTTGCTCAAAAATCAGTGCACAGAATTCCTCTATCACTTTGTCCTTTATATCATTTTGGATCAGTCTTACAGTAGAGCAGAAGTGGAGCAATCAACTTCATTATGTATATCAACAGAAGATATAACAAAACAGAGTATAACAGATATTAAACAGCAACGATCTGTGATTGCTTACTTTATTCGAGAAAACGATCACAAGTACGACAAGACAGGCGTTTTAGAGATGGAAGGGTTACTGAAAAAGAAGGTTTATTTGAACATGTGCCAACTTTTAAGATATGAATTTAATTTGTCTTTATAGAAACTTGCATCTTTTATCGACCTGTTCCTCTTGCAGGATCAACAGCGTTTATTCCAGGGTTCACCTAGCATCGATAATGAACATGCTACAAGGTAAAATACTAAAAAGGATATAGTACATTCAATCTAAAATATGTCACAGACAAACAAACAAGGTGATATATGAACAACTGTATAAACAATTGGAGCAAACGATTATTTCAGAAGAGACAGCACCTCAAATCCTTCATCTTGTTTCATTACTATTATTCTTAAAATACCATCAACTACCACTTTATGTATCTGGCAAATTTGTTCCCATCATTTTAAACCAACTAGAACATAAATTGACAGAGGAAGAACAAACGCTCGTAGGCAGAGCCCACGCAAGTATTGTGGATAACAATAGACAAAATCACATAAGCGATTATCAAAAGTTGGTTACTCTAGGCTTAAAGCATTGTTTATTGCCCTATTAAAGACCGATGAATTTCCAACTGGCTATAAACATGGCCTTTTTCAATAAATACAAGTAGATCCTAGTGCGTTTTGACTGAAGATAAGTGTCCGAATCAACAAATGACTGATATTCTTCTGGATTGTTCAGTGACTTGGGCTGTTCTTGAACATATTTTAACAAATTGGATACGCTGTCACCAATCACGCCGTCCACTTGCCAAAGGACACAGGTTTTCATCTGGAGCGGGTCATTGATTGTCCAAGTAAACACCTTCTTATTTTTCATGTGGGCCTCCTTGATAAACGATTGGCCATCTTGGTCAGCTAATGCGGCAAAGGGTAAACTAAGGCAATCGACCGTATCGAGAAAGTGGGTGCGCGCAGCAGGGAGTGAAATGCCAATGAAACATAACTTGTGATGAGGGAACAGTTCCTTGGCTTTTTTCATGAATTCGACGTTCCAGATACCAATGATCAGACGATCACTAAGGTCAGGGTGATTATGTGTGTACGAACCAAGTAGCTTTTGTAATACATCTAATATCTCAATGGGATTATCATACTATATGAAGAAAGGGTTAGCTGATAATTACTATCCCATTATACCATCATTACCTTGATATCAATGATCATATAGAGGTCCTTCTTGACATGGGACTGTGTTATCAAATCAAGGACATCATTCAATCTAGGTATAGGCTGTCGTGGCTCTGCTTTTGTAAGCAATTGATCTATATCACCATACCAATCATGCTCACGCACTTGACCAAGACCGGTCGTGGTTCTATTGAGCGTTGTATCATGCATCATGACAATCTCATTGTCTTTACTTAATCTAATATCTGCTTTTGTATGAGCATATTTGACATGCTCCTTTGTTCAACAAGAGCCCATACCTCCTTCTAATGCAGTCGTGCCTGCTTTAATGGCATTTTCAAAGGATATCAATGTGTTCTCGGGGTTTTCGGCTGAAAACCCTCTGTGAGCAATAACATCGGGAATATCTTAAATAATGTGAGAAGATATCCAACGTTATAGATTAATTATTCTTACGGATATTGAACTTTTGGTCAATAGACATTTTATTGCTTGGATAAAGACAAGAGAGAAAAGGACTAATAAATAAATAAAAAAACAAGTTAAATTCGCTCTTTTAAACCAAAATAGACGCCCGACACTTAGTGCCTCTATTCACTTTCCTTCAAAGGTTAGGGCGCTCATACAAGAATATGTATTGCTTTGACTTATTGTAATATACATGCGGTTCTGACGCTACACTTGAATCATTTCATAGAACTTACCTGTCAGTGTGCACTATATATGCCTTGCTATGATCATACGGGATATCTCTTGGCTCAAATTTATCCGGGCTCCTGTTTAATTTACTCCCTCCAATGATATTAATCATGCAGCAAAGGATTAACAAAAACAAAAACATGATTATGATGGTGAATATTATTGTTCAGTAGCCACATTTAAAGAAAGAGAGAGATAAGCATATGATTTTATTAGAAAGACTTTAGTGTACAAAAAGATGATCTAAAATAGAAAGAAAGAAAAAAAAGGTATCTAAACGATATGTTCTTAAAATGACTTTTTGCTTAATTGTAAAGATAACTTGGAAGTAATGTCTAATGTCTTTAATACTTCCAAGGTTCCCTTGAAGAATGTTGTATCATGATAGTTGATGTTATATTTCTGACAGAGTGCTTTTACCATTGGCTTGACTTTAGGCAAATTGTGTCTGGGCATATTGGGGAATACGTGGTGCTCGATCTGGTAGTTTAATCCACCCATAAACCAATCACCGATGGGTGAAAGTGATACATCACGACCAGTGACGACTTGGATCTCAAAGAATTCCATAGACTCTGCCTTTTCTTCAGTGATCACAGGCATGCCATTATGGTTCAGGGCAAAGACAAGGGCAAGAGTATAACCTGTAGTTGCTTGACTGATTAAAAAGAACAAGATCATTTGGTAAACGTTTCCACACCATGCAATAATACAGTAGGTAAACAATAACCAGTGACTGACAAGACAAGTGCGTTCAAAAAGAGTCAATTGGCGAGATTTGTTGAGCGCTCCTTGGTTGAATGAATAGATCAAGGATTGAATGGCCCAGGACAGACGAGCAAAAGCGAGAACAAAAAAGTAATAGCGAGTTTGATGAGGTAAGACACTCTCTGCCAAAAATCGAGACATCATCGTGGGCTCTTGAGCGAGAGAAGCGTAGTAGGCAGCAGATGCATATTCATCCCACAGCAAGATAGGAGCGGTATCAATATCTGGGTCTTGTCCATGTACATTTGTACTAGCGTGATGTGTGTTGTGTTTATTTTTCCACCTAAACAAAAAGATATTAGAATGTGTCTATTTTGTCTCTTTGTATGAAATTTGTTACCAAGACAATGAAAACCCTTGACAAAAGTTACCAAGAAACACAACCAAAACATCATTCCATGAACGGTCTTCGAAACATTGATGGTGACCAAAATCGTGGGCCAACCAGCCACACTGTTGCCAAAAGATACCTACTGCAATAGCTGAAGCGATGACAGCGACAGTAGATGAACGACCATAAGCGTATAAAAGAGCAAGACCGGCAGCAGCGATAGCAAGAGTAGAAAGAACCTTGTAGGTATAATAAAGCTTGCTTGAATGAAAGTAGCCTTCGTTCTTTAACTTGTCACGAAGCTCACGCATTTCTGCAGCAAATTGACTAGAAGCATTTTGCTCAACAGGTGCAGGTTCGATATCGCCAATGTAATAATTATTAAGTACTTCATAGGTTGTATCAGGATGCATAGCGTGAAAGACATCTTTGTAACGTTAGTACCATGGCCCGCACCTTAATTTTAATATTTTATTACCAGATGCATCTTTTCCGATGTGTGTCAACAAGACTTGTGCACCACCAGGGTGATCTTGAATAAATTCAGTAACATCGAATACTTTTTGGTCGATGATAATGAATTTAACAGCATCTTTATCACCATCTCTAATACGCTGACTCATGGATTCCAGCTCTTTTCTGGTCATTGTAGATTGACGATCTATTGATTCACCCATATTAGTGTCACACGACTCAAATTGGCTTTCTGCCATCTTTTATCACCTGATGACTCCATTGTGTTTATCTTGCGAAAGAAAGAAAGAAAATATAAAGTAAAATTTTCATAGATAAAAAACAACGGAGCTTAAATGCAACTGCGCTAATTCGTTCAAGTCAGGAACATCTACCAAAGAAACCAATCATCAGGAACTATAAAATTTTTTTCCCCCAACATCAAAGCTATCATTGACTTTTGGATATTTTGCCTTTTAGAAATCTCAGCTTATTACGGCTCAAGGGCTCTTTTGTTGTAGTAAATAAGAGATTGGCCAAACATCAGTTGCTTTTACTTTTAAGCAAACCGTTGTTGTTTCAAAAAAATGATTTGCTTGTTCATCAACAAATAATACTCTCCAGTTTATTAATTAGCTGCTTGACGTGTCCTAATACAATTCCATAATTGGCTTCAGTCGGACTTTAAATATGGTATAAGCGCTATTTTATTTAAAAAATGTATGAAAAGTATGAATGGTCATAGTTTACAGTCTTTTCTCTCAATAAATCAAGAAAATATATCAACAAGCTTACCTCTAGATTCCTAATCGAAAAAGAGCAAAGGAAGTATCATCAGCTTACCCTCCCAACAACTATCCAGACAGACTCTAACGACGATCACCAAGTGTTACAGTGCTAGTGGATGGGTCATCTAAAATTTCCCTTATTCAGAAGTCAAGGCGCACACTAGACACACCCAATGCAACATCCTTCTCTTTCATCTCTCTAAAATCTAGCCTGCATTCATTCCATTAGTACATTGATCACTCCATTATTCAATACAAGAAGCATCCTCCTTTTATCATCTAAAAACTAGATCCCCTATCATTCACATGAAGAATCGAACCACCCTAACTTCATTTGTACTAAGGAACGACCGTAACACAGGCAATAATAATCGCCATTCAAGAATTTCTTGACGCAGGTAGCGTAGAAATCCTACCTGCACTGAGCCAAGACTTTCTTTCCAACTTCTTCGCGATTCAAGAAAAGACAAAGAAAAGACCCATTCCCGGCTACTGAAAGCTAAACGAGTTTGTACAATATACGCATTTCAAATTAGAAGGTGTATCAGCGTTAAGGGATACTCTAGGAAGAAAATGATTTAGTGCACAAATTAGGTAATGATGTATACGCCGTTGTACCTGCACATCCCAAATCCAGGCGCTCTTCTCATTTTCAAATACAACAATGTACTTTATCAGTACAAGTTACTAACTTTCAGCCGAAGTAGAACGTTATGGCTGCTTATCGTTATTTGATACGCGACAGAATAAAGTGTTTGATCAGTGTACTATTTAGATGACATTTGTCTTCTAGCAAAACCAAAGGCAGGAATGGAAAAAATTCAATCAATCACTTGATAAAACTCGGGTTCCTGATCAGTTGATAAAGAAGAGTGCCTTAGAACAGGTCCACAGTCAGAAATTCCTAAGTTTCCAATTCAACAGACGTGTTTGATAAGATTACCCTCGAATTGTTATAATAATTTATAATAAAGCATACATTTTTTAAATCATATGACAACACCAATCCCTCCTATAAACTCACAAACGTCTTTGATAATATTCATCTTTCCTTAATAAAGAATCTAACCATCGGTTTATTTAACTTTTATAAATACGAATGTGCTTTTACTATAGTTTTTATTTAAATAAACAAACAGCTTTAATACTGCGAGGGATAATGGGAGATATGAAAGTACTATTTTCACTATCTGCTTTCAACAAAGCAAATCAAGATGAAACATATGTCAAACAAGACATGAGAAACACTCTATAATTTCATACATGCATATATACTTTATTACCATAGAGACACACATAAGGGATATTCATATATTTTAACAACAGCCACCACTGGGCTTTGATTCATCGGGGGACTGAGACACGAGGATGGTTTGTCCTCCGGTTGGTTTAATAGCATTATTCGATGTCTCCAACGCTTTGTTAGACACAATACGGTAGATCTCTACTTATGATATTAGATTCTATCTTTTATACATATAGAAATTCATATTTGCCTGTTAAAATTCTTTGGAATGACAATTCAACATTAGTTGCATCCAATGCTGAAGTTTCAATAAATGATAATCCATTTTCGGCTATAAATATATACACGTAAGTCATTGTTTTTTTATCTTGGTTCTTTTATTACATGCAAACTGTTTTGCTTCTTCAGTCGGAACAGCACGTAAATGTCTAAGATCGCTCTTGTTACCAACAAGCATAATCACAATATTCGAATCGGCATGATCACGTAACTCCTTTAACCAGCGACTGACGCTTTCAAAAGTAGAGTGTTTGGAAATGTCATAACAAAGTAAGGCTCCTACAGCTCCACGATAGTATCTAACATGAAATTATTCACTCTGTACACTTCAAATATTAGCATATACTTACGCACTTGTAATCGCTCTATATCTTTCTTGTCCGGCTATAGATTCAATGTTAGTTGTGTAACTTTTAAAATAACAAAGAGGAACAAGAGATGACGAGATGTACCTGTATCCCAAATTTGAGCCTTGATGACTTTGTTGTCGACTTGAATACTACGTGTAGCAAACTCTACACCAATAGTACTCTTTGACTCAAGATTGAACTCGTTACGTGTAAATCGTCCCAAGAGATTCGTTTTACCAACACCCGAATCACCAATTAATACAACTATAACAACAATCAAGATTAACTATTGCTTGACTTTTCCTTTTTCTTTTTACCCTTAAATAAATAGTCATAATCGTCACTCATAGTAAAAACTTATAAACCTTATGTAAAGAAAGAAAAAAAAAAAAGGGGGGAGATAGAGGTGGCGGTAAATCAATCGGAAATGCAGGTACATTACACATTTGTTGACAAGTAATACCATGTGATAGCTTGGTATGTTTATCTACTCGTATTCTTTCTGTATAGTGAATGTTGATAAGTAATGATCTTATTATCTAAGGCATGTAGTCTAAAATTCACACAATTGGATCAGACAAAAGAAGGAAAAAGGGGGATCAGAATTTAATATCAGATAATGTCATGAAAAATAAGGGGAAGCATATAAATATCAATCAATCCATTCGTTCTTCATTCCTTCTTTACACCATGGACTTTGACTGCAACTTACTTGTACTTGATTATCTTGTACATCATTGTTATGGAAAGACAGCAAAGGCATTTATAGAGAATATAAAAACATTGGATCAATTTGCCTATCTTCCTTCACAGACAAAGCATTGTAAACTAAAAGTATATGCTATCATTGATCTTATTAACACTTGTTTGATAGCGGAAATACTAGAAAGAGGTTATATATATAAGCATATAAACAGGGTACAGTAGTATTATTAACATCATAAATAGTAAACATACAATGGGCACTACTTGATGCAAGAAAAAGCAAGTAAGAATAGATCACGCCTCGTTCTTTTTTATAACTCTCTTTACATGTAGCAATAAAAGACTCCATTGAACAAGGTGAAATACATCGTGCACTCAAAACCATTGAAGATCATTTTCCCGCTCTATTAGAGCACGATGAACTGCAACACATTTCATTTAGACTTAGATGCCAGCATTTTATCGAAATCATTCGCTCTGGTTCAGAAATGGAAGCCATTCTATATGCTCAAAAGTATCTCAAACCGGTCAAACATGAGTTTAAAGAACAAGTTAGAGAAGTAACCTCCTTGATCGCCTATTCAGATCCATTCCAGTCTCAATCCAAACATTTGATGTCACAGCAACGAAGAGATAAACTAGCTCACGAAGTCAATTGTGCCATCTTGGGTATATAAGAAGCTTATAGAAGCAATGTATAAAACTAACCCAAAATAGATTTGCATTGCCTTTCTGATGAGTCTACAATTGAAAAAGTACAACGACAATATGCAGTCGTGACAGATGAACTGGAAAGAATAGATATAAAAGAAAAAAAGAGTGCATAATGTTATCTTTGACTCTTCTCTCTTTTTGTCGCTCATTTCCTCTTTTCAATATACCTTCTTTTAAATAAAATACAATGCTTCAAAAAATACTTTACACTTCCACACAAGTTCTACTTTGTCTTTTTGTTTATTGTGGCTGCTTTACATTAAAGAAAAAAACTAAACAAGTTTAGATATCCTTGACATCGAGAGCTACATAAAGTTGTCAGTAAAAAAGATTGCTTATATAGTTTTTTTTTTTTTTTTCTTACCAGGAGGAAGAGATTGCTTAAGCTTGTTGGCCTTGGACTTGTCCTTGACAACAAGAGTGTAGAGGTAGCGAGAGCATCTAACCTTGAACTTGACAGAGTCAGCGTTCTTCTTGATGCGAGCGGCTATACATGTATAAAGAAACATTTAGTTTAATGAAGTCTAACATGAAGATCCTAATTACACTTGGCGTCCTTTCTGCGGGCAATTTCAAGAAATTCTTTAATATCCTTAATCTGCTTAGGCTATAGACATGTATGAGTTAGTCTCATCCATTCATCCATCCATTATCAATATCCATCTTACCATCGCGCTACGAGTTTATGCGAAAAGAGAAGGAACTGGATGGTTCCCGTAGATGTGTACTTCTTTTGCTCTCGCACCCCCCCTCACTTTCTGCTGCTTGCTCTCACTACCCTCCTTTTTACTGATCACAGCTTGGAAAGGGTAATTGTTCCGGCCCGGAATATATTGTGTATGAAAACATTGGACATCTCTTGTGCAATTCCTCTCATTAAATAGTGTTATCCGGTCCGAAAACCATGTCACTCAATCAAAAATAAAACATCGTTCTACAATCTCATAACGATATGCGAAAGAATTACGCATGGTCGAGAAATCAAAGTGTGCAGTTGTTAAGATGCCTCTTGTACCATCCTTGAAAGATACAAGAAAAAGTATGAAGGACAATAAAGGCAAGAAGAGAGTAATTTCGAGAAGTCAATATAATTTTCTCTAGGTGAAAAGAAATCACTTGCAAAAAAATATTTCAGGCAAAAGTCCCTTTTAAGTAACAATAAATGGACAAAGCCTCTTAGCAATGTCGATGACTACGAGGACATCTGGAAGTGATAAGCGAAACTTCTGTAAAGGTTAACGCAAGAAAATGAGTCAAGTGACACTTATAAAGAACATTACTTTGTTTTCTTTTTAGCAAACGAAGAGTGCTTTTTAGAATAAACGTTATTTAATCGCTTTTGACTGCAGCTCTTTCTGCTTCAGTCTATAAGCCCATTGCTACCAAAACTCGAAATAATGTCTCTTAAGAAAGTATGTAAAAGGAGCAAATACTTTTTTATTTTTCGTTTACATATTATTATTACATGTCGAGTCAGTTACTATCAAACGCCGTCAATTGCTATAAAGCTGAATCGGTGTTAGCGAATCTGCTCATTCTCTCTTCGGTTCTCTTATAGATCTTTTTCAGTGGATATCCGAAAAAGATTGTGAAAGAACCACGCTTTTCTTTACATAAAGTAAAGAAAAGAAGTAAAGAACTCTCATTATAATCAGCAGGGGGAGACTTTATAGCCTTTTTCAGTCCAACCACCGACCATACGAACAGTTAATTTTGGCCAATAAAAACAAGCGGATGGCGTGTAAAGTGACCGTGCAATTTGACCGCCCTCGTTCAGCGCAGTTGGAAAAAAATTTGACCATTTTATAAAACATTATTCGCACTGTAAATTCAGACAAATGGATTCAGAAAGTCGCTATAAATTACTCAGACAGATGGAAAAAAAAAAGGATAAAGGTATTCAATCAAGCAAGACCTAATCCTTTGTCGAGACATATATCCCAGAAAATTTTTGCATACTTGATCTATCCAAGACAATCTTCTGTAGTAAGGCTTCTACAAGCTGGTTGAATCCTAGGAGTTAAAGTATCCAATGAGAAGAGTGGATTCCTTCTGACATAAGCTTTAATTTTAGACCAACACTCTTCAATTGGATTAAGAAATGGAGAGTAAGGTAGCATAAACAATGGCTTATGGCCACGAATTTGAATGACTTCTATTACATAATGAGAATGATGAATCCTGCAGCTAGCTACGACGGTAAAAAACCTTTTTTATCATGTCTATCCAAAATGTCCATGACGTTTCGAACAAAGTTACGATATGGTACACTGTTGTACCTTTCTTGACCTTTGTTTTAGAAAATGCATCGGTCTTCGCCTTTCTTTCCTTGTTTTCAGGTAGAGAAAACTCTTTCTCAATTTTAGCAATATCACTAGACTTCAAAGGTTCAGCTTTGGAAAAGTTAAAGTGTGAAAACTGTAGAATCATTATGTATTAAAAAATAAGGAATGGAGATAAATTAACAAAAAAAAAGCCATTAAATAGACCATTCAAGAATATCCCGTAGCATGATGATAATTTTATCCTCATTTCCTTGACAAACATCTATAAATAATAATATTAAGCCATTTGAAAGCATGTCATTCTTTTTTACTATGTTACCTTCCACTGTATAAAATTCATCTACACCTGAGATTCCTTCCTTCTTCATAAACTCAAAGACATTAGCAATCTTATCCTCCTCTGATTCATGATATGATAGCAATATCTGTTGACCACTAAGCTCTTGCAGCAATTCAGCTAAAATGTTGTCTCTCCTAATTTCTTTTAAACTGGATATATTAGCATCAGGGCAAATCGTATTGACCCATTCGATAAATTCTGGTTGGCTCCATGATTTGGCATCTTGCTCAATGCCCTCATCTTCTTCTTCATCTGTTTCACTAGGCTCAATAGAAGAGGGAGGAGCAGTTGGATGTAGGTCGCTATCAAAGCCAGAATCTTGATTGACAGACGATTCCTGTTCTGTGATAAACGAAGGCTCGTAAGCTAATTTAGTTGGCTTATATAGCAAGACAGAAGGTGGTCTAGGTCGCATACGGCGCGCGACTTCCAAGGACACTGTAGGTATAACCCGAGAACTGAGAACAGGGGCAGAAAGGTCCCTCGAAATGGTTGCCTTCATAAGACTTGTCATCCATGCCTTCATACTGCTTTCTTCATCTGTATAAAAGTAAAATGTGCGTTCTTCTTCATGTTGAGCCTTGAATGAGTATTTGCCAGGCTGTATCGATTCATCAGGGATAACACGATATCCTCGTAAGTTGATGATTCCTTTCATACGAACATCCTTATTTAAAATGATTAGATCAAAATAAACTGTTCATACTGTATTATTTACTTTGGGGCTCTTGAAATAAAAGAGATTTGGACCTTTTAGCACAAACCAACGCTTATTCCATTTCTTGTATCGACATCCTTGTTTATGCAGCCATCCCTCCATATCTGGAGTTATTGTTTCCTCTGTCGGTGTTGAATACATATGATGATCCATAGGCAAAACCGTAGGCTGATTGGCTGCAAACGACAGATGACTACGAATATTAGAAAAATAAGCAATCATTATAAAAGAGAAAAAGAAAGAAAGAATAAAGAAAAGGTTACTTTAAACCATTCATTGGATGCACATGATCTTCCTACAAAAAGAAAGGGGGAACAATAAAGAAGTAATGAAAACAAATTGCAGGGAGTTAATAACAAATTATTGTCTATAAAAGGGGGAAAATTTCATGATTTACTTTACTCTGTTTTTATTACTTGGCATTATCGCATAATCTAACATAACCAACCATGAGCCGTGTATGTGATATTATTATCTTTAACTTACCTCCTCCTTCTTCTCGTCTCTTTAACATAAAGCTACTGTTATCACTCGTCATTGACTGAGAACTAGGAAATTTGTATGAAGGATAACACTCTTCTCGAAGTACGCTGATAGCTGCATGAAGTTTAAATCGTTTTCCAAAGGTGGGCACGTCTAATTCTTTTAATGAATTCATGTTTAATTCTATCAAGATATCTCCTGTTATTTCTTGATCTATCCAAAAGGTGAGTTAAAGTCTTGTATTTCCTATTTATTTTTACCTTTGAAATGAGCGGCTATACTTCCAAAGTCGATGGCATTTAACCAAATTTCAACTTGATCTATATTCCAATATTCTGGTAATATTGACTTTAATGAAGGATGGGATAATGACTGAATGACTGATCTTTTTAATTGTGTACTCGAGACTGGTAGATTATTATTATTGATATCTGATGAGCTTTTGATTGATCTTGTGTTGGATGAACTTGAAGGAGTAGGAAGATTATTGTCATGACATGACACATAGTTCACTGGGAATAGGCCAACTTCACCTCTTACATTTTGGCCCTAATATAAAAATGAGTCATAAGTTTTCTTCCACCTTAAGCCCTTACCTTCCACCAACCATCGTTAAATCCATCATCTTTTTGGAGGACAATGATAGGCTCACCAATATAGAAATTTAATTCGTCGTCATTTTCGGCTTCGAAATTATGAATAGCATAGACTGTTTCAGAGGCAGTCATCATGATAGGTTAAAGGAAAGGAAGTTGTAGTATGAAATAGTAGAAAGGGAGAGAAAGAGAAAGATAAAGTGCTTCCATAATGTGTTTGAGTGTGTGTATATAATATATATTTGGTCATTTTATAACATCAAAAAAAGGAGTAAAGGGGAGTAGTAGAGCTCATATGATTGATACTATTCCCAGTGTAAGTTGTACGTCTGGAACATATGTCTCAACAATGATTTAATGATTGCACACACATAAAATAATCGTGCGTCATTCATTTGTATAGACTATTATTTAGAGTGTTCCTTAATCTCGTGTCATTATATTATATCTGCTTTCATTGTGTTTAATGATCTTCCCTCTCTCTCTCTCTGTCTTCCTCCTTTTACAAGGTCGTAAGGGTCATTAGCTACGGAATTGATGTTGCTAAAGTGCTAAAAAAATTTTTTTAAGGGGTAAGAGAGACGATTATCTTGATCAGAGGATATCGATTTGTCAAGTTTAGAAGTATTCTTTTTTTTTTTAATATTTTGAAACATGGACAGAGAGAAAGCAAGCTTGGGTTGGTCGATTCTTGGCGAACGTGGAATCTAGAATCCCACCATTCGGGTGATCCTTTAAATCAACCCAAGACCTGACGAACAGAAATGTCCATTTACAGCTACCAATGATGAAATACTGTTTCAGGTCCCTTGATCTCTCTGTGAAAAATTTTCACTGGAAAAAAAAGTATAAATGGGACAAGATGAAAGGCAAAAGAACTTATCTTCATCACACTTTCCCTCCCTTCACTTAGTTATTAAACTACAACCCATTCCTTCATTTACAATGGTCGCTTACTCTACTCTCGTTTTCGCACTTGCCCTTAATGCTTTGACTGCTTTGGCTGCTCCTACCGATTCTATCACAATCAATGTCAAGAACAGCTGCAAGAACTCAATTCAAGTCAACCAACTCACTAATGATGCTGGTAATCCCAAGTCTGTTTCCGTATCTGCTGGTAGCTCCACTACCATGTCCGTTCCTTCCAACTGGGGTGGCCGCATCTGGGCCCGTGAAGGCTGTAGCGGTTCAAGCGATTGTCATCCTGGCGCTCCTGCTTCCTTGGCTGAATTCTTAATGAATGGCTCTGGAGGCAAGGATTACTATGATGTCTCTTTTGTTGATGGTTTCAACTTGCCAATCTCTATCTCTCCCAACGGTGGTAAATCTGATGGTCAATATGAATGCGGTGCTCCTGGCTGTTCATCTCTTCCTTCTTGCCCTAGCGAACTTCAAGATAAGGACAGCAATGGTAAAGTCATTGGCTGCAAGTCTGCCTGTAGTGCCTTTGGTACTGGTGAATACTGCTGTACCGGTGACAGCGCTGCTCGCGGTACATGCAAGGCTACCAAGTACTCCACACCTGTCAAGGAAGCATGCCCCAACGTCTACAGTTACGCTTATGATGACAGCACCTCCATGTACGCCTGTTCACCATCTAGTGGCTACACTGTTACTTTCTGTTAAGAAAAACCTTTTAGAATAAAAAATAATTGAAAGCTGGTTCTTTCTCTTGCTTTTTTTTAAAAATTTATACACACATTCTTTACTTGGATATGATATAAACCATACATTTCTCTTTCTTTTGTCTTTTGTCTTTTGTCTTTTCTTTTATTATAAAAATACACACCTTAATGAATAATCATAAACAAGTCAAAAATGAAACTATTACTACTAAATCAAAAGGATATCGATATCTTACACTTTCTCTAAAGTTCTTTGGAATCTTGTTAATCCTTGGCATCATTTTGTTATTCGCTTTTTTACCTAATTATTTACACAATAAATCAAATCAAGTCAATCATACCAACAATGATCCAACCAATGCAAAACTACCTCATCATTAATTTATATATTTTATTGAATAAATACTTATTCTCATTGAGAAACACAAGGATCAAAGATAAATGTGAGCTAAAGAAAAAGAAGAAGCAGCTGTTGAGACTCCGGCTTTGTGTAGACATTACACAAGAGTTTTTTTTTTTTTTTTTTTTTCTTATCTCTTTCTTTTTGTTTGTTATTATTCTGTATAAATGAAGTTTTCTCATCAAATACAGTTTAATGCAGTGCCTGACTGGGCTGATTACTATTTACCGTAATATTATTAACTCTTTTTTTTTTTTTTACTGACGCCATTGACTCACAATAGATATTCTAACCTCAAAAAACAAATCTATCAAATCGAAAAGGATCGCATTACCACCAAAAACCGTCGTGCGTCATTAGATGAAGAAGTAGGAGAACGTACAGCGCTTATCGGTGAAGGTCAAACCGAGACTGATAACCAAATGTTTATTGACTCTTTAAACAAGTCTTTGGAAAAGATTACTAAATTTTATGCAAAAAAGGAAACTGAGCTATATGATGAAATGGACAAGTTGATGGAAGATCTCGAGCATACTCATCACGGTCAACGACAAGGCCCACAAACCACTGCGAGGGAGCCTCAAAGTAACGTCAACCAGCTGCCTCGGCGTGAATCGAATGTGGAAGGCGATAGCTATCTGCCGGCAACCGTCATTTCCAACAATCTATCAGATACCGATCCAGTATCACTGCACCATGATGATTTGCAGAGGCGTGTAATAGACATGTTTGTGCTATTATCCGAGCTGAAATCGTTTGTGGCTCTTAATATGACAGCTTTTGCCAAGATATTAAAAAAGTATGATAAAATTACCAACAGCAATTTGAAGCGATACTACATCTCCACCCATGTCATGCAATCATATCCCTTTCAGCCTGCGACCAAGGCAAGGTTAAATGAACATATTCAGCAAACAGAGAAATCCTATGCTATCTTGGCAACTCAAAATGATTTGAATTTAGCAATCGAGGATCTCAAAACGCACTTGCGAGAGCATATCGTCTGGGAGAGAAATACCGTATGGAGGGACTTGATCGGACAAGAGCGACGAACACAGTCTGTAGGCGTAAAGCCTGCAACTGTGCCCACGCCGTTTGGAACACTTCGACTGTCACGAGAACAGATAACGAGCTATCTCTATCTGGCCGCGTGCCTTGTCGTATTTATCGTCTTGCTCAAGGTCAATATATTTGATACCATAGAACAAAATAGATGTTTGGCCATTCTCGTATTCGCAAGTTTACTCTGGGCTGGTGAGGTAGGTGTTTTTTTTAAAGGAAAAAGATAACCTCGTGATTGATTCATAGAAATGTTAGGTGATGCCCCTGTTTGTAACCGCTTTGCTGGTGCCACTTCTAGTCATCACGCTGCGTGTCATGCGTTCCGATGACGATCAGCACACTCGTCTTTCTGCCCCTGATGCAACCAAGCGTGTCTTTGGTGCCATGTTTTCTCCAGTGATCATGCTGCTCTTGGGTGGATTTGCTATTGCTGGTGCTCTCAGCAAGTTTGGCATTGCCAAGTCCATGGCAACCTTTGTACTCTCCAAGGCAGGTACAAAACCAAACAGGGTGCTTATCGTTAGTATGCTTGTAGCTACCGTGGCTAGTATGTGGATCAGTAATGTAGCTGCTCCCGTCCTTTGCTTCTCACTTATTCAGGTAATGGAAACAATAAGCACAAGTCATAGAATGGGAGTATTAACAATTGACTACTCTTAGCCAATTCTTCGTACATTACCTGCTGATTCCAAATTTGCACCTTGCTTGATCATTGGTATCGCTTTAGCTTCCAATTTGGGTGGTATGGCATCCCCTATCTCGTCTCCTCAAAACATTATTGCGATTCAAAACATGAACCCTGCTCCTTCCTGGTTAGAATGGTTTATCATTTCGATTCCCCTTTGCATCCTCGGCAACCTTACCATTTGGCTCTGGTTACTTTGGAACTACAAACCAGAACGTCAGACACCTCAGATTCATACCATCCGGCCCAGCACAGACCCAATCACGCTCACTCAAATCTATGTTATCCTAGTAACTCTCTTGACGATCGTCCTTTGGTGCCTTGCACACACATACGAGTCTGTATTTGGTGACATGGGCGTGATTGCGATTCTGCCATTGATTGCCTTTTTTGGCACAGGTTTGCTCACAAAGGATGATTTTAACAGCTTTCTATGGAACGTTATTGTATTGGCCATGGGCGGTATTGCTCTCGGTAAAGCGGTTGAAAGTTCTGGCCTGCTCAAGACGATTGCTTCTCAAATCCAAACACTCGTCGCTGGCATGTCTGCGATCCAAGTACTCTTTGTCTTTAGCTGTCTCGTCTTAGTGATTGCTACTTTCATTAGTCATACAGTCGCTGCGCTCATTGTCTTGCCTATTGTCGCTGAGGTTGGATCTCAATTGGCTGATCCTCAACCAAGGATGCTTGTGATGGTACGTACTGCATATATATATGATTTTGTATATGTAACTAATCATTGAATTAGGGCACCGCCTTTGTTTGTTCAGCAGCTATGGGATTGCCTGTATCAGGATTCCCCAACATGAATGCGATTTCACAAGAAAACGAGCTTGGAAAGCCTTATTTAAAAACCAAAGACTTTTTACTTAATGGTATACCTTCCAGTGTCTTTGCCACTTTACTCATCACTACTGTTGGATATGGCATCATGTCCCTTATTGGATTTTAGCACTATTATAGACACATATATATATATAAATAAATATAAACCAATCATTAGCTTTTTAGCAATGCAATATAAAAAGTGTGTTTATTGTTAATCACTATCACTATCACTGCTACCATCTGAACCGCCTTCTTCTATCTCATCTTGTTTGATGACTGTTATTTCTTCCTTTATGGACACTTTCTTTTTTCTAATCTTCGACTTTTCTTCCTTTTCTTGAATCTTTTTCATAATAAGCCCACTACGAGCACCAAATGATTTTTCCCATTCTGCCTTTACACTTTTATATAACTCTATAGTAAATCTAGCGTCTTCGATCTGAAAACAGTTAGCTTATATTTCTGTCGTTCAGTTTTACTTACAGATGAGTGACTTCCTGACTGAATAGAAATACCCAGCACTTCTTTAACCAACATCTTCAAACCAGGAGTTCTACCCTTTGCCAATTTACGAAATGGTTTATAACGAGATGTATCACGTATTAATAAGGTAGGATGTGAGAGCATCAAAACCTTGAGATCGTTGTGCACGGCGTGTCCGACAAGAATACGATTTTTAATGATCGCTGCTACCTTTTCTTGTGCCTCCTTAAATGTGATTGCTAGCTTATACTCGTTATTTATTTTTAAAATCAATATATCTCTTTCTTACCTTTATCACTTTCCAAGTGTTTGGGTTCAATACCACTCACATGTGTACGATAGTCTGTCACTTTTTCCAAAGGCTTCACATACGCATCCAGTAAGACAGCACCATTAAAGTTAACAATAGATACTCTGGCCAATGCAGAGTCTTCACCATCAGGTCCAACACCCACCATTTCACAATCAATGGCTACATATTTACCAAGTCTATACAGGTTATTTAGCATATCTCTCTCTCTTTTCTCAGCTTTCTCTTACTTTGTGTCTGCTATATCCATTTTATCTACCAGTCTCTGTTTATCTAATGCCTTGCTATTTTTGTCTCCATACACGTCTTTTAATACTTTATCATCAATATCGTCACCAAACCATAGTTCGTCTTTTTTGGGTATCTGGATCTTTTGTTCCTTTTCTTGCTTTGAATTCTTTAATTTTCTAATTCAAAGCAAGTCAATCGATTGTCCTTTTTTTTTTTGTAATGCTTCACTCACTCTAATTTCTGTTTCTTGTTTCCTTTATAATTTGGACTTATTTCGAAATCGTCTGTCTTTCTCTTTTTCTTTGTTTGTCCATCTTTGGGAGTGATTGCCTACAGAAAAAAGAGTGGGTCAGTATGCATCCAAGTAACTCTTTAATTGTCATTACCGGCAAAAGCTTCTTCCAGTTTGAAGAAGGAGCTGTGGTTATTGGTAACTTTTTTGTCTTGTTTCCACCCTTTGTCATGATCACTACAGAGAAAAAAGAAAGAAAAAGAAATAGGAGAGAAAAAAAGAGAGTAAAGCAGTGTCTGTGGCTTGTCGCTATTGATGATTTCCTATTTTGGAAAACCAAAACTAAATATTATGCAAGCTCTATAGCCTTTCTTTTTTTTTCTTTTTCTTTTTTTTTTCCAGTGTCAAACAATGTTTTCGGCATCAGTCTCTTTATGTGTCGCTCTTGGTTTGTTTATTTATTTTCATGTCCAGAAGAGCAGTGTCAATGAAGCCTGGGATAAACGCGTTGATGACTCGCTTGATGACTGGATATCCAAGCAGAGGCATATAAGCTTTCAAGGTATTCTTAACAACATCAATCCACCAGGAACACCTGCTGGCTTCCTTGCCGCGTCTTTATCAACCTATCATCCGGACTATTACTATACATGGACACGAGATGCGGCCCTCGTAGCTAGAGTGCTCTCGCACTTACCTGAAACAGAGGATAACTTACTGATAGACTATGTCAATTTTCAGATTCATACACAGGGTACACCTACTGTATGCAATTGCTTGGGTGAGCCCAAGTTCAACCCGGATGGTTCAGGCTTTTCGGGTTCTTGGGGTAGACCACAGAATGATGGGCCGGCTGAACGAGCGATTGCGTTTATGAAAATAGCAAACAGATTCAAGGGAAGACACGATAGCTATATTAATCATACCATTGTTCCCGCTCTCGAAAAGGACCTTGATTACATTGTCCGTACATGGGAACGGTCATGCTTTGATTTATGGGAAGAAGTAGACGGTATTCATTTTTATACCCTGATGGCCATACGTAGAGCTCTCTTGGACGGCGCCAACTTTCTTGGCGTCAACGAGTATCAAACGGTTGCTGCCAAGATCCAAAAACGACTTGATGTATTCTTTTGGTCATTAAAGAAAAACTATATCCAAGTGACATATGACGCACGTTCGGGAGTAAGCAAGCCGTCTGGTCTCGATGTTTCGGTCTTGCTAGCAGCCAATATGTTTTCTATTGATGATGGTAAAATACGACATAGAAAGAACTTTAAGTAAATATACATCATTTTCTTACACCTTTGATCACGTAGATTTTTTTACCCCGGGATCAGATAAGGTTGGGAATGTTTGTTTTTTATTTATACACAAATTAACTCGTAGCATATAGATTTTGGCTACAGCAGCAGCCATCGAAGCAGCCTTTTTACGTGAATATCCAATCAATCAAAATCTGAGTCCAGATTTAGGCACTGCCATCGGTCGGTATCCTGAAGATGTCTATGATGGCTATGGCCTGTCCATTGGCAATCCATGGTTTTTAGCTACAGCTGCCTATGCTGAGCTTTATTACCTTGCAACAAATGAATGGAAGCAGACAGGATTAACAATCAATAAGATCAACAAGCCTTTCTTCCAACGCCTTGTTCACTTTAACGAAGGATTCTATAGTGCTCATAGCGACGAATTAGAGCAAATCATTGCCAATGTGTCGTCCGAAGCAGATAAATTCTTGGCCACAATCCAATACCATCAACACCGAAACGGATCGATGTCCGAACAATTCAGTCGTTACAACGGATACATGCAAGGCGCAAGAGATCTAACCTGGTCTCATGCAGCATTCATATCTGCTATACAAGCAAGAGAATCAGACCCCATATTGTAATCATATATTTATAATACATATTCCCCCCGGGGAGCGTATGACGAAACCCAAAAAAAAGGAGAATGCATCAAATACATAAGGGGTGTTTGTAGTGCATTTTATTTATGTTTGCCTCTCTTCTCCTTCTTTGTTCCTTTCTCTCTTTCTTACCTTAATTCATCATGAGTTTGTCGATTGCTGATGTGTTTGAAGATTATATTGAAAGTAAACAAAACTGGGAAACAAGATAAAACTCAGTTTTAAAACCACAAAAATAGGTTTACAGAATCTCCCTTTCGAAGTAGACCAAAACATGCAGGAATTACGAAGGATGGATGACGACTTACAAAGTAAGGATACCTTTATTGCATAAGCCGTAGAATTGAGACTGATAAAAAAATTAAAGAATACAGAGAAGAATATCTAAAGAGCAAAAGATTATACATGAAACAGTGTCGATCATCCTCAAACTCTATCAATTTAGCGCCAGCTCGATTGCAGTTGGAACATGAATTCAAGACAGCAATGCAGAAGCAAGATCAGAAAATTGAATTGGCGATGAAAATGTATGATCTTGTATCACGGCATATCGAACGACTTGATTCGCAAGTGTTAAAGACAGGTATCAGTGAGGCAGATTGGGTACGAACGAGTGCTGTCAGAAAAGGTCCTTTGAGCCACAAGAAAAGGTCATTGACAATGACCTTGATGGACGGGCCAAGAAAGAGGTACATCATCTAGCTACAAGATAAAGGCTAACCAATTGAACAGATTTCATCATTCTTCTCGACCAAGTCCTTCCGTCTTGGGTCATTCCGCAATGACAAATGAGGTCGAAGTCGATCCAAATGAACCCGTTTACTGTTATTGCAATCAAATCTCGTTTGGCGATATGATTGCCTGTGATGGTGAAAATGTAAGATACATAAGAGTCGTCGTGCTTTGTTACTCATTATTCTCAAGTGTGCCAGAGAATGGTTTCATTATGCCTGTGTTGGCTTTGTAGAACCACCTGCAGGCAAATGGTACTGCGAAGACTGTAAAGCAAAGCAATATCAGTACAATAGCAGTAGCAGCAGCAGTAGCAGTGGTAGTGATCACAATTCTAGTGATGAAGAATAGATATATGTACATAGAGTACCTTTTTCTTTTAATATACACATAAATATTCTATGCATTAATATTTATTATAAAAGATAATCTCCAAACCAATGGGCTTCAGGTCTTTTTCTGTCAATACCGGGCATATTTTCAATCGTTTTTGCAATTCTACAAAGTAAAGCTTCGTTCCACCAAGACGCCATGAATTGAAGACCGATAGGCAAATCGTCATGGTAGCCAGCAGGTACGCTTACGGCTGGGATACCTGTAAAATTGGCCAATGTGGTATATACCATGGACAGTTTTGTCAAGTTTGTATTCGAGATGCCATAGCGCATAGCCTCTTTAGGGATTTCAGGAGACAGTATTGGGGTTGTGGGTGTCAAGATTAAATCAATCTTTTGATTTTTGAACAATTCGGCCATATGCTTCATCATTCGAGTACGCATTCGTTGAGCCAAGATGTAGTCTCTTCCTTCTAATACACTTGCGACACCACATAATATTCTAGTGTACGGAAGAAAATAATTACGCTTGTGAAAGTGTTTAGAGGCAAAAGTATACATTTCACTTGATATAGTAATTATATGGGCTGCACTAGTTTGTTAATAACATGAGAAAACAAGTGTCATTTTTTACCTGTCTGAGCACGTTCCAAATCTGGTATATCAACTTCAACGATGTTTGCACCCAATTGTTTCAAATAGTCCTTGACTTTATCCATTCTATCCAAAATAGCAGGCTCAGTAATAAATCTATTCCAGTCAGGCACGACAGCGACCGTAAGGCCTGATAGGTCGTTAAACCTGTCATAGTCTTTAAGATCGACACCTGGTTGACTGAGTGTATTAGAATCATTAAGATCTGGCCCAGCAATAATGCTGTATGTAAGTGTCATATCATCTGCGGTTGCAGCGATAGGACCATAGGCTCCTATGGAAGGATCTTGTGTTGAGCCACCAAATGAGGAAACACGACTCCACGTTGTCTTTAGACCATATAGACCACAGAATGCAGATGGAATTCTGACAGATCCGCCTCCATCCGTACCAATGGTGACCGGAAACAGCCCACCTGAGACAGATCCACTGCTGCCACCGCTAGAACCACCACAAGAGTGATAAGTAGATTTGTGAGGATTCTTTGGTATACCTGTATTAGGGTTCACACTAAATGTATCCCAACCGAGCTCATTCATGACTGTGCTTCCAACAACAATAGCACCTGCATTCTTTAATCTGGAGACGATGGTTGAGTCCTGTGAGGCGGGGTTGTCGTCATTGATGAAGCAAGTACCCACTTTAGTTTCTAATCCTTGTATGTCCAACTCTTCCTTGACAGCAACAAACACACCATCGAGTTGACTCAAAGGTTTCTTCTCCCTGTATCTTCTAGTCGATTCCTCGGCTTGTTGCATAATATTCTTGGTCAAGAATCGGATCCAGTTTAGGTCCTTACTCTGTTCTATCTTGACAAGCAGACGTTCAGCAACCTCTGTCGGCGTAGTTTTAAATTCAGTGTAAGCTTTGTGAAAATCCCAGAAAGATAAGAATTGTGATACACTTTTATTTGCGGCATTCAGATGAAACGATGGCTATATGCCCATAAAGATTCACATTTAGTCATACCAATTGCCCCGCTTTGTGGGAAAATAATAATAATAATAGCAATACTTGCCTCATTTAATTCTGTATGATATACTTCATCTAAGGGAAGAGGCGTCATGGTTGGGTGGTCTTCTATATCATTCTCATCCCTCAAGCTGAGCACACCAGTATCACTAGCGAGCTTTTTATTTAAAAAAGGGGCATATTCTACAGCATTTGCAGCTGCTACTATAGACCAACCATATAATATTGGATGCCTGCGTCCTATTATATCCTTTATTTAAAGTCTTTATATAAATATACGAGTTAAACAAGTGTTCACTTACGACGTGTTTGTCCATTAAAAAAAAAGAATAAGAAGAAAAAAGAAAGAAAATTTGTAACTGACAATGACTCCGCATAACTCAGGCATTTTAGCTTTAATTGACATTAGTAAATAAACTTTTTTTTTATAGGACATCATTGTTGCTTATAGAAATCCATATTTTTGAATCATTATCAAAGAAATTAAAGCATACCATCTTGTTATACAAAAAAGTAAAGGATCATTATAACCCAATTCAGTCTTCACGTTTGACACAAATCAAAAACATTTTAGATAGATTTTATTAAAGCTTTTTAAACAAAAACTGTGCATTTAAGGAATATCTTCAGGAATTGTTTCCAATTGGCCAAGGTAAACGGGTAAAGATGCTCTTCTCTGTCTGTTTATTTTTGGTCTTTCTGTTGATGATTGAGTCATGGATATAGTACGTTTATGTCTTATATCAGGATGCATAGACAAGGCATTTCCAATGCATTGGCTTAGTAAATCATGAGATACTCCTTCTTCTCTTTCCTTGGGCTGTCTCTTTTTTATGCTGCTCAAGGGCCAGTGTAAACATAGATAATTTCTTCTCTTTCTTCTCTCTTCTATATCGTCTTTTTTCTTGCTTCTAAATGATAAAAAATCTTTTAGACGCATAAACAGCAAGAGAGTGAAAAAAAAAAAGAGAAAGAGAAAAGAGTTGTCATCCGTTATTGTTTCTCCCTTTTGTGTGTGTGTGCGTGTGTGAGTGTCTGTGTCCTCTCTCTTTTTCTCTGCGCGTGTGTGATCCTTGCTTTTTTATGTCACATTCAAAGACCGATAATGAAAGACTTCATGTTCAGCACTGTTTTTGTTATCACCAACCAACACCTAGTTAAAAAGGGCACTGAACCCAGATTGCTATTTGTACACCATTGCTATCCGTAACAAAGTTACAAACAAGGATGTACCCATTTGCTTCTTCATTACTAGCAGAGAAATAGCAACTGTCCTGGTCAAGTGGCTCAACTGGGTCAAGGAAAATACCAACGTCAATTCCCAAAGAATTATGATTGATTGTAGTACAGCCGAAATCGAGACTTTGAGACAGCCGTTTTCTGGTCAGGTTGGCATTCTTCTGTGTCATTGGCGCATTAAGCGTACTCAGGAAAAGCATCTGAAGACTGATGTAAGTTATTTGTTACTCACTTAATGCCTTTATACTCCAAACAGTATATAATATTTTACTATTATAATCAATAGGTGAAAGTTATAGGTGATACCCACGAATCTGTTCGTGCTAGAGATAGCATTCGAATTACTATTCATAGGATGATGCATGCCGAAAGCATTGAGGCTTAGGAGAACTACGTCTTGGATTTCAAGGCATCCTTTGAAGCTAGCTTCCCAGTCTTCGTTGCCTATTTCGAGAAGACGTGATTAGGAAGAAAAAACCTTTGGGCTAAAGCGTGGAGACCTGTAAGTGAAGACATTATATCTATATTCAAAAGCTTCGTCAACTATTAACAAGTCTGTTTCTTTTAGGATGCTTCTTTTCATACTAATAATATGATAGAATCTTATCGTAGTCAGTTGAAGCCGTTTTGCTTGACCAAATCGCGAAACAAGTATGTTGGCCGCGTGGTTTACACTTTGGTAAACGTTGTCCTTTGTGATTACAGAGCAGAGCATGTTCAAGTTGAAGTTGGTTTAAAAGTCATGTCTTTGAGTACGGAGCAGTCAAAAAGAAAGAAAAAAGCTGATGAGATCGAGTTGAGTGTTGCTCAGAGTATGGTTACTATGTCTCTTGCAAATGACCGAGTTACAAGTCTTTTATTTTCATAAGCGTGTATGATATCATCTAACTTTGATTCATAAATCTTTTTTTGCCGCTCGTTTACTGAGGAAGATGTAGAGTACAAGGTGGCTTTGGACCGCTCTCAGGAATTTATTGAAAGATGCAGCTGCCCTGACATGTCCTACATGTGCAAACACATATTTCTTGTTTCCCATACGCAAGCAATCCCGTACAGTGACAAGTCTGCCTACTCGCGAAGGTCAGTGAAAGGTATAGGTGGCCCAGATGATGAAGCAGTTGATATTACCAAGAATGAGGGGATTATCAAACCATTTTGCGTGAGCAGCAAAGACTATTACGTGTAAATACGTTGTCTGAATCGCTAGAACAAGCGTATGCTGTTCTTGGCGCTCAAATTAAAGAGCTTAACGAATCTAGTCAAAGAGATCCTGACTTTTTGGAATCTTTGTTGCAGGATGTTAAGAACTTGACATCCACAATTGAAAACACAAGAAATCCATACCAACATCCTTCAACACAAAGAAGATAGCTGTTCTTTTAACTACTGTTTATTTGGACAACTACTTTTTTTACGCAATAAATGCATATATTTTTTTCTACGAAGACTCCTTAAAGGATTTTTTTCAATTAATTTGAAGAGCTTAGAAAAACAATTTGTGACCTTTGCAATACGTGGTTGTTTAAAAAGACTCCCGTTGAAGTTGGGCGGTGGCTTGAAAGCTCGGTAGCCGTGAAATCGAGTCGGATGCTTAGGTCATCCTTGTCAAACAAAGGCTACAGTAAGGGGGCAATATATTTGGCAATCAGTGTAGTCTCTGAGATGTCAGTGTTGGTGCGATCCATGGGAAGAGACTGAAGAAGCTGTGAAACCAACACGAACAGGTGTTTGTTGATTTTATCACCCATGGTGCTTTCCAGGTTGAGGATTGATACGCTTGCGCCAATTTGATCTGTTGTCTTTTCATACACGCTCTGATTAATCTCGTTGGCTTTGAGCAATACATCACTGGAAAAGTTGCTTGTCGAGTTCTAAGAATCAATATTGTGTTCATGGATTCGGGCATAGAGTTTGTTTCCGAAAAATGACACCATTGCTTTGTGGAGGCGACTGTAGTTTTGAAAGAGGAGAATTGAATTCAATGAGAGGATCAGGTGTATGCCAAATTCCAGTGTTAAGTTGTTGGAAATAACAAAACCAAGGTGTACACTACGCGCACGAGGAAATCCACGAGAGGGTTAATGTTACAAACGCTACCTGTGATGTCGCCAACAAACCTTTTGAGTGTGCAGCATCAAACTAAGCTTGTTCAGAGAATAGACATCTTTCCATGTTCTTTGGTATAGAATATGACTTTTATAAAGTTTCAAAAAGAGATAAAATGTGGTTATTGCTGTATTTTAATTTTTCTATGTTATTAATTTGATCAACAAAGAACCAAGGTCATCCAAGTCCTAATTTTTACAAATAAGGATGATGAATTTCGTTAGTGTAATCAGCCGTTGCTATATTAAACAGAAAATTTACCCATTATTAGGTAACCAACGGTCATCAAATCGTTTATATTGCTTGGAATAATTCGTACTTGCGCAGTAAGCATATCTCTCAATGTCTTTGGCAGCTTCAGGAAACTATCGTTGATATATTTGTTTGGTGTTTCCTCAACATCATGCTTGCCAACTTCGCATGATCCAAGCTCATGAATACCAGCCTTGAATAGAATATCAATCTTTGCAACCATGGCTTTTCTTGGTTTCTGTCAATAGCTTTGATTGCACCATCAGCGTTCTTTGTAGAAGAGACAGCCTTGCTGACCCTTTCACCCAGTTTCGTCTTGATGCCTTTTTGTTGATAAAGGTTGTACGTGAATTCCCAAACGGAGTGCAGCAGGTCGGGTTCAGAACAGTCGTCTACGATCAGTTCTTCATGCTCAAAGAAAAGTTCACATGCAGTCTTAATGCTCTCCTTTGTCCATTTTTTATTGGACTCCTTTACTGGATGAGCCTTCATGCCGTCGGTAAACTCGTAAAGTCCCATGGCAGTTCTGTCTTCAGATTCGCATTGCTGGAGAATCCCTTTCATTTCTTCGGATAGACCAGGTAGCCGCTTGATGTTGGGCGTATGGATTTCTCTCAGCTCATCTTCTTCGAAGTTATTCTTTTAAGCGTTGCCCCTTGGATCCATTATCAGGGAATGCACTGAGTACTCATAAGATGCTTCTTTTACCAAAAGTAACATTTGATCTACATATATTGTATTCAACTTTGCTATTGAAAAAAAGCAATAAGTCGATTCCTTGCGAATTACATTGTTTATTAAAAAGAAAGGAGTAATATTAAAATAAGAAGCGTGCGCATTTTATAAGAGAATCTATGACTGCTGTTTACATTCATGTGGTCAGTATGATCATATATGTTTATGTTAATTTTTGCAGGAATTTATCGTTACTCTTTTTCTTGGTCCTTTTATTTTTTTTTTTTTTTTACCCTTTTGCCCAAAAAGGGATTTTTTAGTCTCCATTGCAGTCTTTTTGATTTTGTCTGGACGGTCTTTTTAGTGCGCTCAGTAGGACGATATGCTCCATAAAATCCGTTATTTTAAACGAATAAATATGAAACTTGTCTATTCTTATATGGAGAAACTTTTTTAATTGTAGACTTTTACGCGTTTTGCTAGTAAAACTTGGAGGAGAGAGATAGTCAAGAAACCGAGACATCAATGCGACATTTAACATTATGAAAACTGTATTATCGTTTGCAAGAGCGACACAAAAAGATGCCTTAAGCAGGCTATTCAATGGTTCGACAAGATTTGAAAAGCTAATGTCGGACTTTCTCTTTGTATGGTGATCAAACCTCGGACTCCCTTTTTCGGGGCTAGATTAAAAAGTGACAGCAAGAAAATACACATTTTCTTTAACTGAAATGAACTCACTTCGCCCATTAACAACTTCTGGTAGACAATGTAATGTCAACAATTAAAATAAGACATGACTATATGACTTAACATATTACTAGTATTGCGCTCTTTCCATACTGCTGCTCCTCGCTTCACTGGAAAGACAATCGAAGGAGACAAGTCAACCTTTGACTCTTTGGTCAGAAAGGCCGACCATCCTGTCATTGTAGATTTTTATGCAGAGTAAATATGAACATATACATTAGAAAATGAAAAATGACTCTAATGCCTTGGAATAGTTGGTGTGGACCTTGTAGAATTATCGGACCCGCCTTATCCAGGGCTGTTGCTGCTAATCCTCAAGTGACTTTGGTAAAGATTAATGTAGACAATTGTGAGGATATTGCCAAAGAATTCAAGGTAAGATAATAATAATATACATAATATATCTAACATCGATCAGATTGCTGCATTACCCACTGTAACTGCTTTTCATAATGGCAAAGTAGTCGATCAGTTCGTTGGCGCAATGGTCAAACAAGTGAATGGATTTGTTGAAAAGCATGCAAGCCTTGCTAAAAAATAAATAAAAGTTTTTTTTTTATCAATGAAGTATGTCTTTGTTGTTTTTAACATGTTTCTGAGTATAACAACTCTCAGCTGTCCGTCAACACGCGTCTCTCTCGTGAAATCATGGCAGATGGTGGCGGTGTCCGCTGGGCTCTATTTGAAAATGAATTTTCGAAAAGTAAAAAAAATCTCCTTTATTATTAACCACACACACATACTCACCATTGAAATTTCGGTGAAGACAAGTATCAATGGAGGAATAGCTGAACATCTTAATGATGGTATTTTTGAACAGAAATCTGAGAAATGACTTTGTATGTGTTTATGTGTGTGCTGTTAATAAAAGGTAAGTGTGTTATTCAGTGGATCGCCCTTGGTTCATTTTTATATTGCTGAAATGACGAATGACATTATGAAAATCTTGAACTCAAAACCATGAGAGTTAAAATGTAGTTTTCAATCTGAATGTAGCAATGTTAAAATGATCAAGTGGAAAAATAAAGAACCCGAATAACCTCTTGAATGAATGATGAACGTATAAGGCGAATATGATCAAATCTAAATGAATTCAAACCACGTTCTGACATACACATAAACTTATTTATTTATAGATTGAAAAAAGATATAGTAATAAAGGGTATATATACACACACACATGCATTAAGCATTCTTTTGCTGTTTCCATCTTTCAGAAATACCTCGCATTGCCCACTCCATCACGCCTTCTTTCCATACTAAATCATGTCCCTCACTTTCTAATATCTTTAATCGGACATCACGTAAACTACTAGCGAGAGTATCGATCGCCTTGGAAGGAATCAAGCTATCTTTATCTCCCCATACAGCAGACACGGATACTTTGATATCAGAATAATTAAATCCAAACATGTGATGCTTTTCTAATGCAACCATCACATCACAGAGTTGTCCTTGACTATAAGGTTCAGACATGCGTCGTTGATTCATTGCTAAATAGAGCGACATGTGCTGGGGTCGAACAAAATGCCTTAGAGGTCGATGAGTAGGAAAATCTGTCGGTAGATCGAGTGGTCCATCATCTAATGAGGCCAGTAGTTCATCTTCTTCAAATGTGATCATGGTCTTTCGGCTATTTTTTGTTTTGGGATGATTTGTACTTGTGTCTTCCTTGTTGATGCTTTGCTCCTTGTTTGTTTTGTTATTGAATAACCACATGACATCTAGCGTCAAAGAGATCGTCTTGGCCACAAGTGAAGCAGGCAATCGTCGAGTCCATTTGAACGTGTTGGCGGCTTGAGTAGATACCCAGGGCGAGATCAGATAGATGGGTGCAGATATTCGCCTTTTGAATCGATAAGCAATGGCTAATGCAAACACAGTACCTACCGATTGTGCAATGATGCTGAATCGATCAATACCCAAATGATCTGATAGTTGTACAACTACATCAGCCCATTCTAACGCACTGATCTGCTGTGAGCCGCACTCTTCACTCAGTCCATATCTAAAACAAGTGTTCAAAGGCGGGGTTTATTGTGTGTGGGAGAAGGCTATGTAGCTCGCATTTACCCAGGACGCTCGGGCCAGATCATCCTCAGGCCGTATCTGTAAGCCAGCTCTTCAAACATGATACCAACAAGTCGAGTGCAGCCATAACCTCCGATCACAAAGACAGGGTGACCAGTCTGTGGCCCATATTCTGCATAACCCACTCGATGAGAACTCAGTTTGCTGTGTGAAGGTGCCTTATACTGAAATGTCTGATGTAATCGAGGTTCTCGTAGAACGTTGATTCGGGGAATAGTTGTTGGTAATTGTGGAATCTGTTCTGGTAATTGTGGAAATGTGACATCATCACTTGATTTATGTCGACCTGTCTGAGGTAAAGCCTGTTTCTTATTATTCTTGGCTGGTGTTGACTTGGAAGTACGCAGAGGACCTACAAGAGTGGAAGCCATGATAATAAAGAAAAGGGGAAGAACAATGGCTTAGTGCAACCTTGGACATGTTATTTTTTATTGAATTCATTCGCCCCTCATTTTGAACAATTGAATTAAAAAATCAAGATGAATTTCCAAATACAGAGGTAGGAGATAGTATTCCTTATGAACTACATGGCTTATTTGATATCCAAATTCCCACCGTGTCGATCTCTGAAGAGAACTTGTTCGGTTGATATAATGATGACCTTGTTTATTGATCTTGCGTAATCTCTGACTTTGTGATTCCATTTTAACCTTACAATACATCATCCTTTCTTCGGTACATTCAGCATGGTTTCTATTTATGACTGCATTATCACGTTTGCTTGTCAGATTTGTATCTGTAGGTGTGTAATAACCATCCGTTATCATTGTAAAACGCATGGCAGGTGCTTGCTTGTCTGCGTAGTATCTTCTACTCGTCGGCGTACATGGGGTAAAGGTGATGCAGTGTTTATCCAAGTTAAAATCCTGGATTCCAAATTGGGTTGTTGAGCGATTGCGTCCTTCTTGATCTATGCATACGACCACGTCGAGGGCTGGAAGCCTGTACTTTACAAATACATGGTGAACTAGATGAAATATCCTCTGAGAAATCTTCATCATATTATAAAGAGTTTCCAGGTCTAGTACAGGGTCTGATAGAATTATAACGATCACTTCATCTGGCAAATCATTAAATCGTCCCTTGAGCATTGATTCATTTTGTGAGTGATGTCCTTTTGTTCTTTGAAACCAACTCGTTATAGTGCTTAGATATTTCATGATGATGTGTATATAAATGAGTTTATAATAAAGCCGTGTAGTAAAAGATGACAATCGGCAAAGAGCAAAAAAGAGAAAAGAAAAAAAGAAAAGAAAAAACTCAATTCACGTCAGTTGGAACCTTGTTTAAATAAGGCGCATTCTTTTCAAATGATCGCCACGAAACCTTTGTCCTCAATGACTCACTTGAGCCGTGGCTTCAGTTTCTCCCATTGCTTTTGATGACTCAGTCCACAGGTCATTCCTACTTTTGCATACATATCAGTCAAATGTCTCTGTTATTACCTTCTTTTATTTCAAATCAAGCGCGGAATATGGAGTCTTTCATGCGCTTAGGTGCAGCATTTTACTTTCAAAGTTTTCACACACCAGGCAAGTTACTAAATTGGAAAGTCATGTGCTGTAGCACATTACCTCTTACGGCTTAGATGCAGTAGAAAGTTAAAACAAGGAGAAACAATAAAGCCAAGAGAAAATAAAAAGAAGCACATATATAATAAAAGAGGCACATACCAACAAGTCGTCATGGAAACGCATTCTTTACTTTTTTTTATTAATCTGTTTGGATGAACTTGATTAATTCCAAAAAAGGATCAAGTATTATTTTTATCTCTCCTTTTAGATCTTGGAAGTGACAGAAAATACCTGGTAATGGCAATGTTACCGAAACGAAGACTAAGGATGTAGTGGGCCCCCTCCTATGGCACAAAAGACTTTTTTGAAGCCCATCCCTGCCACCAATTCTCTAAAACACAGTGAATGCATGCATAGAAAGATGTAAAGAGAACAATAAGAAGAATATTTATTTTTATTTTTATATTACTGAGAATAAAGCGCGGCTAGAAAGCCTATAACCACATCCGAGGTCGGAGTGCAGCTAACGGCAATTGTGGTAGGCACGACCTACAATAAACTTTTTTGTAAGGTATTTTGGTGAACTTTTGGCTGGGTCACAAATCTGTCATCAAGCGTAATTGTGACAGTCTGTAGCTCAAATAAGATATCACTTCTCCATCAGAAATTGGAAATAGAATGCCCGCTTAAGGTTTCTGATCATATTTACTATACAAAGGCTCTAGCACACTTGTTATAATAGAGATAAACGCTTGACATATTTGTAAAGTCTTTCATTAAATAACTTTTTTGCTGAGATTAACACTTCTTGAGTATGATCCGCTTTGGTTCCTGAATACTATCATATATAAGGGTGTTGATTACCTTAGTCGATTCTTTCTTCTTTTTTGTCTTGTTTTTAACAAATAGATAAGCAGAAATTCTTCAATTCACCTTTGGATTTCCTTGTTTTATTATTAATCAAGTAATATCACAATATTACCTTGCTCTGTATCACTTACATTCTTAATAAAGCTCAATAGGGTATATGAATTATTTCAAGGCATTGCTGATTAAGCATGTGTCTCGGTTAAGTCATGTGGCCATACATCTCTATGCTTCTCTTTATTTCACTCTTTAGAAATATTTGACATAATGATAATGTTTATACATTTAGCAAAAAGCTTAAATAAACATGGTCAATTTTTTTCTCCGTTGGAAACAGGTGATACAAATGGTGACCTAAAAGTGTGCAGGCGCAGCAACGGAAAGAGAATGTTAAGAGAAGAAGAGTTTCTTTTTCTTATTTGATGGTTGAGTATCGTTGTTTGCTCGTTTCTTGGATTGATCCAACTCTTGGTTTACTTGTTTTTGAATGTCTAAAGCAAAGTGATAATCTGTGTGCTCATCAATGTTGATCAACAAGATCTTTTTATGACATTTATCGCAGAGATATTCCAATGATTCATTAATGTCTTGATTCCATAATGGAGCAACCGTCCTTGGTTTATCATATGTAGATTGTGAACATGTCGGACTTGAAGCAGATGATTCATTTAAGCTTCTGGGTATCTTATTAAAGAATTGGTGGATTGGACGTAATTGGGATGCTCCTTGTGTAAAATTACTTGCTGAAAATTGAAGACCAGAGCATGGCATTGGGCTTCCTACAGATTTGAATACCTTTTCTAATTTCTTGGTTATGTTCTCTACACAATAAGCCCTTTCAACAAACCTTTTCTTCTGCTTTTTGTTTATTATCTTACCATGATCTTTCATTTCCTCACGACTAATGGGTCCCATTGCTTTAGATCGAAAAGAAAGGTATGGTATAGACGCGTACTGTAGCTATATTATGTTTAGAATTTTGACACACGCTAAAAGCTCAAACTTACAGTAAATGTTTTTGGCCAAGTATTAAACTCTTCATAATTCTTCAGTACGCGATTTCGAAGTTCAATGGCCAGTATAGAGAACCATCGATCCATCTCTTGAACATTCTCTACAGCAGGATTAAACTGCTTAGAGGCCATAATCGATTTAGGAGCTTTCATCGGAATAACTTTAAAATAGTTAGAAATGATAAGTCTTAATGTCTGTTCTTACTTTCTTCATTATCCACTCCTCTACTAATATGATATAGATATCGTCCTGTCGAATCTCCAAATTTAATTTGAAGTTCTTCTATCGTATATTTCCTAATAAACAAGTCAGAAGGACCACTTTAAACAGGAAACAGCTTATATATACCATAGATCACTTGCTTTGTCTATAGACAGACCCGATTCAACTTCACTTCCCAGTTTCCCGCCCAGGTTTCTAATTTTAGTGAATGGGACCTGTTCCATAAAGTAGAGCGCAGCAGAATTTCTTAAGACTGTCTTTATGTAGACAAGATTAATAAAGAAAAGAGACACAAGTATACGTGAATATACCTGTTTATTTGGTTTGTTTTTACTGGAGCATAGTTTAGCAACCGATTTGTAATGAGCTATTCCTATTTGATTCAAAACTTATAAACACTCATTTGCTTCTCTCTTTCTTTCTTACCAGCAGAGCATGTGTATTGGAGTGTTGTATATATCTCATGACGAATTTTTGCCGCCAATTCTGCACCAAAATAAAGCTGCAAGTCTCTCCAGGTTGCCTTTGACCAATGGCTTTCATCTGTTTCTAACTGCCTTCTTTCCTCTTCCTCTTTGGACTCGATAGTAATACCTACCTGATCCCAGTCAAGGTCTAAATTGCATGCATCGTCATCTAGTCTATCAAGCAGCTCTGGGTGACAATCGATATATTCCATCAATCTCTGATTGACTGTAGAAGTGACATCCATAAACGCCTCATCTAAACCGATTTTTTGAATCTTGTCGCAGTACTTGTGAAATATCTTGAATATATTTAATGACGCTGCTCGATAAGGGTCAAGTGACACCTTGTGAGTGGCACGATCAGGGTTTTCACGGTATTGAGGTTCTATCTCATTTGCAGCATATGTTGGTACATGTAATAATTTTATCTCTGGGCATAGTTCTTTGGCTTTCTCTACTGTACAATGTCTATCGATGCCTGCCTGTCTGGCTGGATAGTTTACTGTTTTTTTCAGTTTTAGATACAAACTCAAAGAAAAAAAGAAAATGCTTACCAGCAATAAGATTCTGCCACTGCTGTACAGCTGCAGGAACGTCAGAAGATATGCCTAGTCTCACTTGTTCTAATTGCACATAGTTATTATATGTATATTTCTTTTAAGTTCATTAGGAATTACCAACTTGACAATAAAAGCAATCTTGCCATACTGAGTTAGTTTTATAAATAATTGGGCAAGTATATTTATACCCAAGTCAATATGAAGTATACAACGAGATTCTTTGAGAGCCTGCGGAAGGGTGATTGTCATTATAGATATTGTAAAATGACAGATTAAGAAAAAAAAAAGTCGCGCTTTTTTTTTACGAATTTATCTTTCGTAGACGCGTATCCAAATATAAACTCAGAAAGTCAAAAAATCGAGACACAGAAAAAGTGTGCATTTTCATGCAAAGTAGGTTTTAATAAAAAAAAAAAAATGATTGGTAGAAGAAGGAATTTTTAACACTTGCAGTTAGAACCACAGTTGCATCCTACATAAAGAAGAGTAAGCATTATATTAAGCTCTATTCATTCGTTATACCATTGTTAGTTCCTATAACAAATAGTTAGAACTAGTCATACTTTCTATTATTTTTATTTACCTTTGCAAGTACAGGCATCACTGTGTTTAGCACCACAGTCGTTACAAGTACAGTTTTGACCACAGTTGCAAGAAGCAGCAGAGCATCTATGTACAAAAGATCAATCCATGTATTTAATGCATATACACAAACTTACTTGCAAGAATCTTTGTTACAAGGACAAGCCATTTTGAAGAGTTCACAAAAAAAAAAGAAAAGAAAGAAATAGAAAGAACTTATGAATTTATATTCAGATAGAAAAAACGTCAAAAGGAGTACCTCATCGGCTACACATGGTCGCACTTGGTCATCCAACGTCATGTTGCGTCAAAAATGACTAAAGTATAAAATTTATTATATGAAATGGTAATATAATATGATAGAGAGTGGGTAGGGAGAATCTAATGGTTATTTAGCAGAAGTACCCGTAACATACATTGAACTGACTCGCTTTGTTCTCTCAACGTCTGCGGTTGAGGAAGGAGGAAGAGGAGCAACTTGGTCAACAGCGTCAATACAATGTCTTGGGAAAACACCCTTTGCGTAATTCTTGGTAATGTTGATGCCTTGGCACCAGCCATCATCATATTCTACAAGTAGTTCAATACGGTCTCCGGGCTCAATTTCTAACTCGTCACTAAGCGTAGGTATATAAGTGGCAATGACAGTAAACGTTCCAAGCGAAGCTGTTTGAGGCTCATGAGGTCCTTCTGTTATCTGAGGCTGTACAGCCGTAGGTGACTGCGTTTGATAATATTGTTGTTGCTGTTGTTGAATCGTTTCTTTACTCTGATTGTTAATCGCAAGCGCAGGTTGATACGTATTGAAATTACTCGTTGCTGTTGTTGCTGTTGCTATCTGCTGCATGCTGGGCGCTTCGTTATACTCTGTTTGAGGAGCAGAGTAATTGTCTTGATGGTCATAGGGTTTGTTTTCTACACCAAAGTTGGGGTTCATTGTCGACATGCGAGCTGCTCGGCTCTGCTTCAACTGTCTTCTTCTTCTTCTACGTACGAAGAGTAAGGCACCTGCACCGGCAATGGCAACTACAAGAACAGCAACGACAGCGCCGATAATAGCACCAGAAGAGGATGATCCGGATGAGCCAGTGCTAGCGGCTGCTGATGCGGAAGGCGTGCTAGATGAAATGCTTCCGGTCAAACTAGGTACACTTGTGGAACTACCCATGACAGTTGGCGCAGGACTACTGACAACGGCAGTACTGCTGACAGCACCACTTGTAGGGGCACTACTACTGCTGCTACTGCTACTGTTACTGCTATTACTGCTAGGAGAAGCAGAAGCAGCCGATGCTGTTTTAGGAGAAGACGAGGAGCGGCGTGTAGTAGAAGTAGTGGGGTTACTATCATTCGATGGCTCATTCTTTGCCGTTGTGTGTGTAGCTTTTGGTTTATTGGTGGTCTGAGTAGCATCTTTAGTGGCTAATACACATAATTAATTATGAGCACAAATATTATCTGTTCGCCTTACTTTTGTTGCTATGGTCCGTAGGTTCTGGGTCGCCTGCATTACGAAAGTCAGGGCCACGCTTCTGAGGCAACCACATGGCATTTGTTGTTGTAATAATGCCGGCCATAACAAGCCATTTGGACTTGTCGTAATTGTTCATCTTTTAAAAGTAAAGGAATGGAAAGGGGGAGCGGCTAAAGAATAAGAAAGGGTAAATCCTTTTTGAAGAACTAAAGTGTAAAAAAGAAAGAAAGAAAGAGGAACTAGGGAAAGAAGAACGAGAAGAAAAAGGGGGGAAAGGGCGAGGAGTATTCATTTTTTTGGTATATTGAAATGAGCTTCAAAATGTGCCACAAAGGATATGGATCGTGTAACTATAATTCTGCCAGATCGACCAGTTTCTATGTGAATTACAAAAAGCAGGAACGCGCAATGGGAAAAAAGGGATGAAGAGATAACATAGAGAGTAATTGACCTGAAAAAGAAAAGAGGAATAGAAAAAAAGGAGAGAATGGGATTACGATTGACAATGTTACCCTGTAATACAATATAAATCACTAAAGTTTTAGTTTGTTTTTAAAGTCACAAGTATTTTTATGTGTTGTATGTATATTATGAGAAAGGAATATATCATTTTCAGACAGTCACAAAAAGCAATGAAGAATACCTTAATGAACGCCTCATCTTGGTTCACCATTAGGTTAGCACTCACATGAACTATATGCAAAATTATGTTTTCTGGACGAATCAAGCTTCCATATCAACACAAAGAAGGGCACAATGTGGTCGAGAAAAGGTATCAAGACTATGATAGTCAATTCAAGTACATTTTCTATGCTTGAAACCATTTTCGCTTCCGATATCATCAAAGTCAGTCCGCGAATACAGGAACACTCAAAGAAAAGAGAGTCAATCACCAACAACGAAACTGTCACTGGGCATTTCTTCAGCTTTTGTTAAGGCTATAATGGCCGAGATGAACAAGTATAATTATACGAAAGGATTCTACGCGATTATAGCTAAAGCTCCCATTCATGTGGACTGCCCTATGCGTATCCTTCTCCTTATTCGCATTACTTCAATCCGATCGAGCAGTTTTTTGGTCTATAGTGAAGAGCAAATTCAAATACACCCAACTATCTGACAAAGGCGTGCTTATGTCAAGGATCGCCAAAAGCTTGTAATCGTATGCACATAACAGATTTCTTTGGATTTATCAGGCATTCTGTGAGAAATTTTGAAAGTATATCAACTTATATCTTTGTTTTAATTTGACACTGTTAATTGGCGGTTTAGTAAATACAGTGTAAGTTAAACATGGCCACAATTTGTCAAAATGGTAATTACTCTAAAAGTCATGAAAAGTGACACCTCACCATAATCATGCATTTATACACATCTGTTACTGCAAAAATGAATCACATTATGAAAAGAATACATCCTGCATAACACCCTACTGGTTAATTCATCATTATTAATTTTATAAAGTTAGTCAAGTTCTATTATAAGCGCGAAATATAAAAGAATATTAAAGGCAAACGGAGCTTCTTTGAAATCATCCCTTGATACTCCTAAACAGAAAAAATATTTGTATAAATCCAGAAAACGGCCTAGTATGAGAAAAGCAGCGAGTATCAACAATTTTTTCAATACAGTATATCGCTTGATCATTGAACTAAAGGCAACCTTTCGTCCAGGAAGTGAACCTTGAACCATATAGCGCTGAAAATGCTTCTTCTCCAAAGATCTTCATCATGGGGTCACAGTTTTACTCTGGTTTGGAGTAGAGGAGATGCGAATATGAACTTTGGAAGTAGTTATGAGCAAATTTGAGGCGTATGACTTTTACATAATTCTTTTGTGAGATATTTCGATACCAACACCATATAATAGTTACTATGTCATCGCGATACCTATCAGCACTAGAGGGATTTGATGGCAGAGGAAAGTCAAAAAATGCGGCAGCCAGCGCGCAATGCTCCATTTATGGTTAGCTGGATATTAAGTTCAAGATAAATTGTAGTTGAGTTTCAGTGTTGTTGTCTGAATAACTACTGTTTCGCTAGTAGAACGTGTTATGTAAGTGAAAGATAAATGGTTTACTAAAGATTATGACGTCTCGCAAAAACTGTAAGAGCTGAACATGTTCACTCTGGTTCTAAGCAAATGCCAATGGAAACATCTGTCTACTACCTCATCTAAGAAATACAAGTCCCATTTGACGCAAACTAAACTTCGGGAAAAGAGCAGCCCAGTATACTTTTGTTCATCCCGCTTTGAAGTTCCAACGCACTTTTTGAGGTTAAGTGTATGACGCTTTCAGATAATTGTTAAAGTCAGACTAGTTGTCATTGCATTGCTGACTTATTATTAATAAGCCGAAAGTGTTTGTCGTATTTGCATTATAAATTCTTTGCTTATCATATAAGAATACTTAAGAACAACATAAAAAGACTGACCACAGAATGCGTTATTCTTATAGAACGCGTCATGCTCAGCTTTGATTGGTCATGGTCAATACATGTAGTAATCTTGCTGTCATAAGAAATGAGGCTATTCGTCTTGATCTTGATAAAGAGGTTATATAGAGACTCATCAACACCATTTTTATTATTATTGTGACTGTATCACAAAAGGTAAACGAACGGATCACATACCGTTGTTTATTATCGAAACAATATTACATTTCTATTGGGCATGTCTATGAAGAAAAGAAGAAGTAAAAATAGAAGAAACCGATAGAGACGCTGTCTTGTCCAAAACATACCAATTGTAAAATAAAGTTGCCACCCACATATCCTTCTTTGAAGCCTTTTGATGTTGTACTATATCTCCGCAGAGTGTAAACGTCAACCGTCTTTCATTATGATCTTTTTTAAGATATTACACACAAATGATATAAAATCAATATCAGAGACAAACTATTATTTTCAAACAGATATACTAGCCAAGAATGTTTAAAGACAAGAGCACTCAATCACGCCCAAAGGAGATATAAAAATGTCGTCTTCAGTTAACCCGCACAGTAAGCCCATATAATGAGACTAAAAGAGATTGGCTTAGCTTGTACACAGATCTCTTGGTCTCATTGTTTACCAATAAGCCAAATGTATCTGAAACCGATCGTGAGGATAACAGCCAAGCATGAATAATTCAAGGTTATTATGGATCTAAATAATAGTACTTTTTAATTAATTAAAAAAAAACTTTTGATTTTTACACACGGGATATAAAGAAATCCTGCAACTGAACAAAGGTGCAAGGAGTACAGTAGACACAAAGAGAAAGAGAGAGGGGGAAATGATCAAATGATGCTTTACAAAGAGGGTTAAAGGATAAAAGAAATGAACATGACGGAGTTTTTTTGGATTAAGGGGGAGATGGATAAGCTAGAGCAAAGGGAAAATGGTAGGGTTTTCGAGGTTAAATGTGATGGGTGCAGCGCCTAGCATGGGAGAAGAGGATGCAGAGGATGTAGTAGATGGTGATGATAATGGTGATGAAGGTGATGAAGATGATGGTGATAAGGAAGATAAAGAAAACAAAGAAGATCCAAATGAAGCCAATGTTTGATTCAAGGCAACCATATGAGAGTGTTCTATATGATATTTTAAGCCATTCAGGTTCTTGTAACGTTTGCCACAATCACCAATGGTGCATTGATATGGCTTAGAAGCAAGGTTTTCACTATCATCGTTAATAAGATTACAGTGACCATGTTGATTGTGATATTTGAGACCATTAGGGTTTTTGTATGCTTTGTCACAGCCGGCTACAGGGCATTTATAAGGTTTATCCGCATTCATATCTAATACAAAAAAAAAAGTCAATAACAAATTCCTTTTGTTACATTGACCTATACATACTTGAGTTTGCACTTGCCAATATAGCGCCTGCTTGGGCAAGAAACTCTTCATTTGTAATAAGGGATGTAGGGAAGTCGGCGCCATTACCAAGAGAGGAAGCTAATGCCAACTTTTTCACAGCAGATTGTGTCAAGATATCAAGAGCACTGGTGGAACCACCACTGCTGATTTGATTGTGAGGTCTCTTCTTTCCAGCAGATGGTTTTTCCGTATCTTCATTATCGTCATCAGATCCTGATGTGGATGATGAACCTGTCTTATAAAAGTCATACAGGTAGGCAACCGCTTTCTTCTTAAGCATATCAATGTAATCGCTCTTAGGTTCATCAGTTGAGGCTGTGTCTTCAGGCGAAAAAGAAGAAAAAGAAAAAGAGGACCAAGAGTCATTTTCACTGTCAAAAAGACTACTTTCATCATCATCTAAACGAACATGACACTCTTCATAATGTTGAAGCAGATCATGAAGGTCATTTAAAATAAGGCCACAGCAAGCAAAATCACGACAGTAAGAGGCTTCAAGATCTTTTGATTCAAATGTATCTTTAATATCATTCTGTGGAGTGCAAAGTTGAAAATCATAAGTACTATTAATTAAATGCGCGTTGGGTTAGTCTAGTATATAGATAACCTATATTGTAACTTACTCAAAATTGATGTCTTGTTTTGGTATTGTAAGGGTACTCATGCGTCTAAGAGAAGAGTTGTATTCAAGAGGCACAGGCATACTTATGATTTTTTAATTTAAAAAAAAGAAGAGAGAGAGAAGGGGGAGAAGATGATTTTTATAAAAAAAACATCAAAATAAGGGATCCTTTTTATATTCAAATGAAATAACCCGATCTCTTCTGCAACCTTAAACGGTGTTTAAATCTTGATTTTTTTTAACTGACGACATCTTATCCGTTCGTTTGAATGGACAACTTTCAAGTGGAGAAGTTTTAGTTGAGCAAAAAAAAAAAAAAAAGAGAAAAAATGGCACTTTCTATGAATCAAAGATTTTTTGTTGGTAGTTTGATAGAAATGATAGGGGAAGTAGTTTGATTACATTTTTGAACTATTTTCAACAGGTTTTTAGATGTAAATAATTCCCTTTTTCTATTATTTCTTTGTTTTGGCTCTCAAAATTTCATGTGTTCTTTTTTTTTTGGCATGAAGATAATGGCAGTTTTACACATTTGTAAGGATAGTTATATTGTTACACATCGAATTCTTGTTCCGAAAGTGATACAAACAAACTTCATTCAAAAACGGAAGAACTAATTTATGGGAACTGGGCTGTCAAAGAGTAACCATGCTGATTTCTATAGAAGCGATCGCTATGGCGACAGAATGCTCATTCCTTCATTTTTAAAGTGAACTATTGACTCATATTTTTGTTTTTCATAGTCTAAACAAAGAGAGTCAGTATCCAATTATATTGTTTGTTATTATTATTTTTTTAGCACAAATAATATCAACTCCGGGGTTACAGAAAGTGTCTCACTGACAGAGTGAAATGAAAGGATATCAGATGTGTTTCTTATTACTGGTATTGTTTTGTTGTTGTTGTTGGTGTGTTTACATGTAAATTTATGTATATTTCAAGTGATTTCGCAAGGGGGCTGTTTTTGATACAGCCATGCTTAGTCTATTTGTCCCTTGCTTATTGTGTATACTGTTACCCAGATACGGAGTCCCAAAGTATTCATATAGTTGATTATAAACCTCTATCAGTGAATACTTCAAGATCAGTAAATCAATCAAGGGACTCTGTAATACATTAAGCTTATTGTGGTCGATTGCTTCACAGACAATTGTTCCACTGACGTTTTTGGCAACCTATGAGGATTGCATATTGTCTTTAATGGATAAAACCGTATCCGTTGGAAGACATTTCATGCTCCACCTATCTACCCCCCTGTTCTTGAAGGATTCCTTATTGACAAATACAAAGCTAAAGAGAATTGTAAAGGGTTTGTTTTATTTTATCTAGTCTCATCGTCTTGCAAAGAGATCCTTTTTTCTTTACTTTTTTACAAATAAAAAATAGTATGGTTTTTCCTAATTATCTATGGATATTATTAAAACATCGCTTTGCCCCGAAAAACCCGACATATCATTTCTTTAGAGAAGTATGATCGCGTAAAAGGGTTGAGGATATACTATTAATATGGGTTGCACAATAACAGGGAAATGAATAACAGGGCTGCACCTACTGTTCTTTTCATTATCCACGGTTTTGCTGACCTTGATTGACTGAGTAAGAATATTTCTATTGTAGCTTATTTTAACAACCTTATCGTAGTTGTAAAGGAACATCAAGCCTAAGACACTTTTTTTGGCTGCGCGCCTGAGATGAAAACGGATAATTTATTTAACACCTACCGTATAAGCTCTTTAGTCGTCTTTGCTTGATTTAGCAAGACAGTGAGCATGAAAGGACAGACACCCATTATTTACAGTGTGTATCTCACTATACCACAAGATATTTAATGTTTACATCTTTACAAATCTCTTGGTCTCTCTACCCATTTTTAGAGATCAGCCGAGGGAAGCTAATTAAATAAGAAAGCAAGAGAATTTATAAAAATAGAAGTTAATTAAAGATATGGATATACATTCAAGAAAGAGATACATGATCTCATGCTTAAAGACATATGTTGTCATGTTCATACCGCATTTATCTCGTTAGCATTCGATCATGTATTTACCCAGACATACACCAATGGTCAAGTCAGAATAAACCAACAGAAATGGATGATTGGGCAGCATATGATTGGTTAATGGCAGACTATGCCTTTTGAATGATTGGACTTTTACACTAGATAATCTCCAACTGTGGGAAGTATATTTTGCATTAAAACAGAAATCCAAGTTGTATCCTTAATGGGAAACGAGAATAGTGATCAGCCGACCAAAATAAGATTGTGAGTTTCGATGTCATACTTGTGTAGACTGGTGCCACTTTGCGTCCCATTTGTTTATCTGTTTCAAGAATCAGATATTGTATAGTGTCAAGCTAATATTTCCTTTTTTAAACTGCATGTTTTTCTTCTATTCTCCAATGTTAATGCATATACATCTTTTTGGAACATACGCCCCTGGGTCCAGACACAGAGATGTTAATAGAGTTCACCTTTTGGACTTTAGTATATTTGCCTATCCTTACAAGAAGCACAGTTAATTATACCTAATTATCTCTCTTTCCCTCTCTGTCTTCATTTACGCATAATAGAGACGCTTGCCCTTATTCAGTTTATCAGTTAATCATACACTAGAATATTCAGTGACTTTTTTTTTTTCTTTTTTTTCTTTATTGCTCAATGTCAGATGCTGAAGAAAAACTGCGGGATCGTTACCTTCAACTGTGGCTCAGCACTATAAAGGAATCACCCACGGCAACATTCCAACTACACGGAGGAATTACAGTTCAAGGGAAATTACGAGCAACTGACAGTGAAAACAACAGATTCCGAGTAGATCGGCTCGAGTCGCCCATGGGAACATACGATAGAGCAGTAATTCGTGGAACTGACATTAATGTTATAGAATGGGATGTGTAAATAGGCTCTCCAAAGAGCTGAAAAAAAGGAAAAATAAAAAACACATACTATTAATACGTTCGCTCAATGTTAGCTCTCACTCTTTTTTTTAAGTGCACTTTCTTTACCCTTTCGAATATTCGCTTAGTTTAAAGTACATGCGCAGACTTAATCCTGTCGGCTTTACACAAACGTATGAGTTTTGATTTGAAGATAAGATGACAAATAACCAATGTAACTCTTTCAAATGGACAAATGAACATTTATTATATCCTCTTTGTATATCCTAGTAAGATATGTATTGTGTGGATATATAATCGCTTAACGTTCTTGACTTATTACATGCACACACATATATTCAAACCTTTCATCTACCCAACATTACCACTTTGAAATCCGCAAATATGGAAAAAGCTACAACATATTCTGAAGCTGTCTTCAGTTGTGTTTGTTTAACGTTGTACAATAAACTTATTGTTTATAGAAAAAGCGGATGAAATTACTAAAGGTATGATAAAAATGAAGTAAAAGACAGTGAATGATGATAATTATTGAATTGATGCTTGAATTGATGCTAACTGATTATATTAAAAGTATACGTAATATTAACACATTGGTAAAAAGACGGAACTATAATAACATTATAACACATGGCTTTTCTGTATTCCAGTAACTTTAAATTTGAACGTAGCACATACACGCATACAATGTAGAAAAAAATAAAGAAGAAAACTAAAATTAAAAGATGAAAAGAGAAAATCAGTGTTCCTTGAAGCAACTCATGATATTGTGCTTTAGCTGAAGAATACTCTTTGGTAAATAAGATCAACCGAAGCTGTTACACGAACTTAATGTAAGATCCGAAACTGAGAATATGCTGAGAAATAGTGTGAATGAATTATAGACCGTTTTATTCAAGATGCCATATTAAAATCAGTTGATCATAGGATTGTCAGGCTAATAAAATTCATGGGTAATGCCTTGATGTAATAATTAATCCTTTTAGCTCTATTCGGTAAGCTTCATAAAATAATGTGTGTTATTGTATGCTAGTCTACACCAATCATTTCATATTTTACAGTGGAATTGGCTAATGAATGAATATTGTGGCTCAGCTATAAAGCAAGCTGTAACGCGTTGTCATCAAGAACCCGCTTCGATAGCACTATGTGTAACCTCCAAACATGAGTAGGGTACAGAGGAATAATAACACTATTTAAAACAATGGCTGAAAAAGTGAAAAATATATTTGCCAAAGGAAGCAATTTATTGCAGTTGTGTTATTGTTCAGATATGAAATAAAATGTATAACACGCTTCTTTTTTGCATTTTTCGATAACAACAACGATCATCTTTCCAAAACGTTTCTTTTCTGAATTAACCACTTCAGTCGCAAGTTGTTTGTATTATCTCTTAGATAGGTCTATTGAGATGCTTTTGCTTTTACCAACAGTTAAGACTGTCATAATTTATTTATATGATATTTAGTCAACGGCTCGTATTCAAACAAATGATAAACTTTTGAATGTTTGGTTTTGTATTGCATATCTACACACATTGCAATGTTTGAAAATGAATTAAAAAAAAAAAAAGTCTCCACTTTAGTACAAGAATGTATGTGAAATACGTAGAATAATGGATAAAGCTATTCATAATACTTGGAGTATGCCACAAAGAAGCAACAGTAAAGCTTTGCGGAAGAAATACTTTTTATAAATTGTTCCTTTTATACCACTTCAAGGATAAATGTAGCATTGATCTATCACTTTTATACATAATTTATGAGTATACAAAATGATATACAACATAGCCTATAGTTGTCAGTGCGGATTTAGTCAACATACGTTCTAGTATACTATTAGACCAAAAGAAGAGTTTAGTGATTTTGACTGATATAAGACCGTTGTCTTTTTTAAATTCATTAAAGATTGAATTGTAATAAATGCTTCATTTTCTCTCAGTTAAATGGTATTTGTCTCAATGCTCATATCCTCAGGATTTTATTAAAAAGAAGAGCTAAGTTTCTGGTATTTGTTCGACTGTTGCTACTACTAATAAGAAAAACTATTGCTATCATTCATTTAAAATGATATTAGTCTTTCTTTGACCTACGTCTTATCCAGTATAAATATGAAGGAATATCCCGAGAAAGGATCACATGTATATATGCTTGCTTTACAATACCTTGTTTTATTTTGATTTTATCTCTATTAAGCACGGCAATTACAAGTACGCTTTGAAGTAGCAGTGGCAAATATATAAAAGCATTTCATGTATAAAAACATGGTTTCTTTATATAATACTCTTTTATGTAGCTAATTAATAGCTATGTTATTGCTCATGAGATCGTGGACAAGCTTATTTGAATAAATTGATTCTTTGATCTGCGTATATATGGTTATACTTTATTGCCACTTTGTTGTGTACCCTACGATCACATTATTTTGTTTCTAATTCCTTTTTCTTTTTGCTCGTAGCTAATTAAAAAGAATATATTCTGGAAATAGTGTAGTATACTTCCAGCTGGTGCATTTGACCACGTAATAGCTATAGAATAAACGGTGGATCATAAAAGGCATTTTTATTTAAGGAATCAAGCAGATTAAAGAGCTAGATGCTTCTATTTGTTTTTTACTATTTTATTATGTATTTTTTTTATTTGAAGTTTTTAGAGATGTTTCTATAGCAACACGATGCTCATCAGTTATGCATCTTTGGTTATATTAAATATAGAGTTTGTGTAATTATACTTCCAAGTATGGAAGTCTATATTCCCACAATCGTCCCTCATTTTCCCGTTGACTGGCAAACCCATCATTTGGGAATAGAGGTCGAATTGATATGTATAAAAGAAATATAATATGTACGGACAATGCTAAGAACTGCTACATAAATAATTACATGTATATTTCGCTATTGACTATCTCTTCTTCTTCTTTTTCTTCTCTCTCTCTTTCATTTTTGATATCAATCATCCTGCGCATATTTTCACAGCACAATTTTATCTTTACCAATGTTTGATTAAGAATTTGTTCTATAGAGATCCGGAAATTGATATAATAACCAATGAACAATGTATAAATTGACTGCTTTTTTTAAAAGGTTACACGGTATCAGTTACCCTAAAAGCATGAGTAATGTGGCTTGTTCATCTATGATCTTGATGATTGCTATACTCTCAGTTGTGTCTGATTTTTGAGTAAAACTGTGAAGAAGGACAACAACAATGAATTAAATAATCCTCAAGTCAAGTATTATACATCAATGACAGACTAAAATGGTCAAGTTTTAGCGGTTTTAGTCAAAGAAAAAGGGTTCGAGATAGATCTGAAAACAGCGGCCATTGAATTATGAAAATTTTTTTTTTGCTCTCGAAAAAGTATAAAAAGGGCGTTTAATCTGGAAAGCTATTGCTCTTCTCAGCTCCTTTGGCTGACGATCCCCGGAACACACTTTTTTTATACTTCCAAATAAACCTCTTCCTTATTTATTTTAATAACTTTATTGTGTATCAACGTCAACCGCGTGTATAAAAGTTTATCCATTCTCTTTAGTAAAGTAAAATACTGGTGTGGGGTAGCATTTATACTAACAGTTCCCATTCAGTTTAATTCAGTATAAAAAAAGAAAAAGTAGTAAATCATGGCATCTAATATTCCTGCACCTCCTGTTACCTCTATGGGTACTGCCTTTGCACCTACCACCATTGGGTCACACATTACGGCTCCTGCTGCCAATGCTACTCCCATCAGTCGTTCCCCTCGTTCTCCCACAGCTCCTCACCGTCCTGCAGCTGCTTTAGAAGATCCTAAGGATGTTACTACGGCTGCTCTCGTCTTGAAGGACGGTACCAGTTTCCAGGGTATCTCTTTTGGTGCCGAAAAGAGTATCTCTGGTGAATGTGTTTTCCAAACTGGTAAGTTTTGATTTGTGGGGTAAAAAAAACTGAGAAAAAAATTAAATTTTCCTTTTAAGGTATGGTCGGATATCCCGAATCTTTGACCGATCCTTCTTACAGAGGTCAAATTTTGGTCATCACTTACCCTCTTGTTGGTAATTATGGTGTTCCCTCTCGTAAGGAAATGGATGAACTTTTGAAGGATATTCCTTTAAGATTTGAATCAAGCCGTATTCACGTTGCCGGTTTAATCGTGGCTAACTACTCTCAAGATTACTCTCACTATCTTGCTGATTCATCTCTTGCTACCTGGTTGAAGGAAAATGACGTCCCTGCTTTGTACGGTATTGATACGCGTGCACTGACAAAGAAGATCAGATCTGAAGGTGTCTTGCTCGGTAAGATCCTTTTCCCCAAGACCTCTTTTGACAGCGGAGTTTTGGAAACCGCTGCCTCCGCTCTTGGTTTCTCAAGCACAACTGCTGAAACTACTACTGACCGCTGGATGAGAGACTACCAAAATGTCGACTGGGTTGATCCTAACGAACGTAATTTGGTGGCTGATGTTTCTATCAAGGAACCCAAGATCTACTATCCTGATCCCGCCAATGCTATCAAAGTTCCTTCAGGTCGTACAATGCGTGTTATCGCTGTTGATATCGGTATGAAGTACAACCAGATCCGCTGCTTTGTCTACCGTGGTGTTGAACTCAAGATTGTTCCCTGGGATTATGACTTCCTTTCTGAACCCGAGGATACCTATGACGGTCTCTTCCTCTCTAACGGTCCTGGTGACCCAACCACAATTGATGTCACTATCAAGAGAGTACGTCAGTACATTCAAAATATCAAGAAGCCTATATTTGGTATCTGTTTAGGTCATCAGGTCATGGCCCTTGCCGCTGGAGCCAAGACAATCAAGATGAAGTACGGTAACCGTGGTCACAACATTCCCTGTACAAACATGATCTCCGGTCGCTGTTACATCACTTCTCAAAATCATGGTTATGCTGTTGATGCCTCTACTCTTCCTGAACACTATCAAGAACTCTTTGTTAACGCTAATGATGGCTCTAATGAAGGTGTCATCCACAAGTCTTTGCCCATCTTCTCTGTTCAATTCCATCCTGAATCTACCCCAGGCCCTCGTGATACTGAATTCCTCTTTGATGTCTTTATCAACACCATCAAGGAATGCGCTGAAACGAACACTCTTGTTTCTGTTAAGATGCCTGGTGGTGTCAAGGCTGAAAACATCAAGAAGAACCCCAGAGTTAGTGTCGAGAAGGTTCTCGTTTTGGGTTCTGGTGGTTTATCTATTGGTCAAGCTGGTGAATTTGACTACTCTGGCTCCCAAGCTATTAAGGCTTTGAAGGAAGAAGGTATCTACACTGTGTTGATCAATCCCAACATTGCCACTATCCAAACTTCCAAGGGTTTGGCTGATAAGGTCTACTTCTTGCCTGTCACCCCCGAATTCGTGCGCAAGGTTATCCAATACGAGAAACCTGATGGTATCTATGTCACTTTTGGTGGTCAAACTGCTTTGAGCGTTGGTATTGCCTTGAAGGATGAGTTTGAAAGCTTGGGTGTCAAGGTGCTTGGTACTCAAATTGATACTGTTATTACCACTGAAGATCGTGATCTCTTTGCTCAAGCCTTGTACGAAATTAACGAAAAGTGTGCCAAGTCATCCTCTGCTGTCACGACTGAAGAAGCTCTTGTTGCTGCTAAAGAAATTGGATACCCCGTCATTTGTCGTGCTGCCTATGCACTTGGTGGTCTTGGTTCCGGTTTTGCTGATAACGAAAAGGAATTGGTTGAACTTTGTAACAAAGCATTCGCTGTTTCTCCCCAAGTTCTTATTGAGAAGTCTATGAAGGGCTGGAAGGAAATCGAATATGAAGTTGTTCGTGACTGTCAAGATAACTGTATTACTGTCTGTAACATGGAAAACTTTGATCCCTTGGGTATTCACACCGGTGACTCTATTGTCGTTGCCCCCTCTCAAACACTCTCTGATGAAGATTACAACATGCTTCGTACCACTGCTGTCAATGTCATTCGTCACCTCGGTGTTGTTGGTGAATGTAACATTCAATATGCCTTGAACCCCTTCTCTAAGGAATATTGTATTATCGAAGTCAACGCTCGTCTGTCTCGTTCTTCTGCCCTTGCTTCCAAGGCTACTGGTTATCCCCTTGCTTTTGTTGCTGCCAAGCTTGGTTTGGGTATTCCCTTGAACGAAATCAAGAATAGCGTTACCAAGGTAACCTGTGCATGCTTTGAACCATCTTTGGATTACTGTGTTGTCAAGATTCCTCGTTGGGATTTGAAGAAGTTCAACCGTGTCAGCACTGCTTTGTCTTCTTCTATGAAGTCTGTTGGTGAAGTTATGGCTATCGGTCGTACTTTTGAAGAAACCATCCAAAAGGCTATTCGTGCTATTGATTATCACTTTATTGGTTTCAGCAAGGTAAAATTAGTACAATTTGTAATAGTGAGCTATATATACTTATATTTCCATTAGAACGATCAAGTATCTGACAGTGACATCGACTTTGAATTGTCCAATCCCTCTGACCGTCGTTTGTTTGCTATTGCCAATGCTATGCACAAAGGATACAGCGTCGACAAGATTTGGGAGATGACCAAGATCGATAAATGGTTCTTGAACAAGCTTCAACGTATCGTTAACCTTGACTTCCGTCTTGGTGGCTTCAACAAGACCAACGTTCCTGGCAACTTGCTCCGTTCTGCCAAGCAGCTCGGTTTCTCTGATCGTCAAATCGCTAACCAGCTGAACAGCAATGAATTCGCCGTTCGTAAGCTTCGTCAAGAGTATGGTATTACTCCCTTCGTCAAGCAAATTGATACTGTAGCTGCCGAATTCCCCGCCTTTACCAACTACTTGTACATGACCTACAATGCAGTTGAACACGATATTGATTTCGAAGACAAGGGTATCATGGTTCTTGGTTCAGGTGTCTACCGTATTGGTTCTTCTGTTGAATTCGATTGGTGTGCTGTCCGTGCTATTCGTACCATTCGTGAAAAGGGCATCAAGACTGTCATGGTTAACTACAACCCCGAAACAGTCTCTACAGATTATGATGAAGCCGATCGTCTTTACTTTGAAAACATCAATCTCGAACGTGTCTTGGATATTTATGAAGTTGAACGATCCTCTGCTGTCATGATGTCTATGGGTGGCCAAACTCCCAACAATATTGCCTTGCCCTTGTACCGTCAAAACGTCAAGGTTCTTGGTACATCTCCTGAAATGATTGACAATGCTGAAAACCGTTACAAGTTCTCTCGTATGTGCGATAATATTGGCGTTGATCAACCTCGATGGAAGGAATTGACCAGCTATGAAGAAGCTGAGGTGTTCTGTGAAAAGGTCGGATTCCCCGTCTTGGTTCGTCCCTCTTATGTCTTGTCTGGCGCTGCCATGAACGTTGTCTTCTCCAAGGACGATCTTGCTTCATACTTGAAGGAGGCCGCTGCCGTCTCTCGTGACTATCCTGTTGTTATTTCCAAGTATATTGAGGATGCCAAGGAAATCGAAATGGATGCTGTCGCTTTAGATGGTAAATTGATCTTCCACGTTATCTCTGAACACGTCGAAAATGCTGGTGTTCACTCTGGTGATGCCACACTTGTCTTGCCTCCCCAAGACTTGGATCCTGAAACCGTTCGCAAGATCGAAACTGCTACTGCCAAGATTGGTCGTGCCTTGAACATCACTGGTCCTTTCAACATTCAATTCATTGCAAAGGATAACGAAATCAAGGTAATCGAATGTAACGTCCGTGCTGCTCGTTCCTTCCCCTTCGTCTCCAAGGTTCTTGGTGTTGACTTGGTCGAAATGGCTACCACTGCTATGCTTGGTCTTCCTGTTGAACCTTATCCCAAGGTCAACATTCCCAAAGACTATGTTGGTATCAAGGTGCCTCAATTCTCTTTCAGCCGTTTGTCTGGCGCTGATCCAGTCTTGGGTGTCGAAATGGCCTCTACTGGTGAAGTTGCCTGCTTTGGTAAAGATAAATACCAAGCTTATCTGAAGGCATTGTTGGCCACTGGCTTCAGCTTACCCAAGAAGAACATCTTGCTCTCCATTGGTTCTTACAAGGAAAAGCAAGAATTGTTGCCTAGTATCCGCAAGCTTTACGAATTGGGTTACAACCTCTTTGCTACCACAGGTACTGCCGATTTCATTTCTGAGCACAACATCCCTGTGAAGCACTTGGAAGCCTTGGACGGTGATGGTGATGACAAGTTGAAGGCTGAGTACTCACTTCAACAACACTTGTCCAATAACTTGATTGACTTGTACATTAACTTGCCTTCTCGTAACCGTTTCCGTCGTCCTGCTTCTTACATGTCCAAGGGTTATCGCTCTCGTCGTATGGCTGTTGACTACTCAGTTCCTCTCTTGACCAACGTCAAGTGTGCTAAGCTCTTCATTGAAGCCTTGGCTCGTAAGAAGGACCACGAAGTCTTGACCATCGACTACAAGACCTCCCACACTCAAGCTCAATTACCCGGTTTGTTCAACATCAATGCTTACCTTGAAACAACTGAGGAATTCGCTGACGTTGCCAAGGCCTCACTTGCTGCTGGTTTCACTCTTATCTCTCCTATTGCTCAAGATGTGACCAACGATATCTCCCTTGACAAGTTGAGTGATGTTGCACGCAAGGCTGCACACACTGATTACTTGCTCAATGTTACTGCTACTACCGAAAACGTTTCTCAAGTCAATAAGTGTGCCTCTGATGCTGCCGTTCTCTACATCAACACGGAACGTATCGAATCAAGCAAGATCTCTGTATTTGATACTGCCTTCTCGTCATGGCCTGTCAACCAATTGATCATGACCGATGCAAAGGGTACTGATCTTGCCTCTATTTTGCTCTTGGCCTCTCTCCACAACCACAACATCCACGTCACTAACGTGATGAACAAGGGTGATTTGGCTTTGATCAAGATGAGTAAGGAGAAGGGTTTGGCTGTCACCTGTGACGTTGCCGTTTACTCTTTGTTCTTTACATCTGAAGACTTTGGTAACACCAAGCTCTTGCCTACCAAGAAAGAACAAGAAGCCTTATGGAAGCAATTGGACACCATTGACTGTTTCACCGTTGGTTCTATTCCTCGCAAGTTGGCCGCTGAACTTGGTCACAAGGTTGATGCTGCTGCTGGTATTTCTGAATCTTTGTCTCTTCTCTTGACTGCAGTCTCTGAAGGTCGTTTGACTGTCAAGGACATCACTGAACGCTTCTATGATAACCCCAAGTCCATCTTTGGCATCTCTACTCAGCCTGACACTTATGTCGAAGTTGCCATTGATCGTGCCTCTGCTTGGTCCAAGCCTCAACAATGGTCTCCTCTTGCCGGAAAGACTGTTCGCGGCTGTGTTGAAAGAGTTGTATTGAATGATATAACTGTCTTTATGGACGGATCATTGGCCAACAAATCCCCATTGGGTCGTGATGTCTCTGTTCAAGCTCAAGCTGTCCACACTGGTAAGGAAACTGGCAAGGAAGCTGAAAAGAAACAAGCCAAGCAAGTTAGCCAAGAAGCCGAACAAAAGGCATTGGAAACCACTCCTGTTGAACAAGATGACCGTGCTCGTGTCACCGACTCTATCCGCCTGGCCGGTACTGCTGATCAACAACTTGTCTCTCTTGAAGCTCCTCGCTATGAAGTCTCTGCTTCACTCGCCCGCGTTGTCAGTCGCTCACCATTCTACCGCAAGCATATCTTGCGCTCTTCTCAATTTGACCGTGATGACCTTCACCTCTTGTTTGCTGTTGCTCACGAAATGCGTAACTTGGTTGAACTCTATGGTTCTATCAACTTGCTCCAAGGCCGTGTGATCAGTACCATGTTCTTTGAACCTTCTACGCGTACTTCTTGCTCCTTCGAAGCTGCCATGAACCGTCTTGGTGGTAAGGTTGTTTCTGTGAGTGCAACCACTTCATCTGTTCAAAAGGGTGAATCACTTGCTGATACTGTCCGTACTTTGGGCTGCTACTCTGATCTCATTGTGCTTCGTCATCCACAACCTGGTAGTGCTCAAATTGCTGCCAAGTACTCCAAGGTTCCTATCATTAACGCTGGTGATGGTATTGGTGAACACCCTACCCAAGCCTTCTTGGATGTCTTTACTATTCGTGAAGAACTTGGTACTGTCAACGGTTTAACCATCACATTGGTTGGTGATCTCAAGAATGGTCGTACTGTTCACTCCTTGGTCAAGTTATTGACTTACTACCAAGTGACCATCAACTATGTCTGCCCCGAATCTTTGGCTATGCCTAAGGAAGTGGTTGAGGCTGCTACAGCTGCTGGTATCAAGCAAAACTTCTACTCTTCCCTTGATGAAGTCATTGGTGTCACTGATGTCTTGTACATGACTCGTGTCCAAAAGGAACGTTTCGAATCTGAAGAAGAATACTTGCGTGTGAAGGATGCATTCATTTTGAACAACAACGTATTGAGCAAGGCTAAATCTCAAATGATCGTCATGCATCCTCTTCCTCGTGTCAATGAAATTGAACCTGAAGTTGATTTTGATCAAAGAGCTGCTTACTTCCGTCAAATGAGATATGGTTTATATGTCAGAATGGCTTTATTAGCTCTTGTCATGGGTACTCTTCGTAGTTAAATGCAATGTAAATTATTTGATTCAATTTTATACATATTATAATACATAAATAAAGCATATGTTCTCTTTTTTTCTCAGTATACGGCTCATTCTTTATAAGTAATAGATCTAGATTTGCATTTGTTCAAACCTTCTCAATCACACAACTAAGGTTTTTTTTTATCAGTAAGCCCGACTAAACGTGACTATTGTGTGTAAGGCTTCTACATCTGAAGGAACGATTTCAGATTGTGGAACCCTCGCTTTTTTTTTCATTATGTCTTCGTTTTCCTTAATATCAGATATTCCACCCAGGTATCGTGGTCCATCAGTCATCACTTTCCACCCACGCCCTCGTAATATTATTTCCAAAATGTTGAAAAGAAGAACTTTAAGAGAGGAGATTCAAGCTTTTTATGCAAGACAAGTTGAAGGATCACCTAATATACCAGCCTACCTTAGCAATACAGTGTATGCACAATTGATAAAACAGCAACGCCTATTATTCTTGAAGCGATTATATACAACACCAAAAAAGAATGATGACGATTTAGCTCGAATAAAGAAAACATACAGTTCGCATAATGGACTGATTTTGCAAAGAGAGCCAGTAGAAGCTGATCTTGATGTCAACATCTTTGATGGTCATAGCTTGATTACCAGTAGTCGTAGTCGCAGCAGCAGCAATGAGAGCTTCAGTATTCCTACAGCAGGCAACAGCAGTGGTAGTAGCAGCAGTAGTGATTCAAATATAAATAAAGCTATTCCTTCTAGAAGCGAATATGCAGCACTAGAGTCATTACTGCTTCAGGGTTCATTCAATTATGCTTTAGCGACACAAGACTTAAGACTACCGACAGCTTGGGACCCCAAGTCAAAGGGTGACAACATCGAACTGAGTGGTGATAAGCTGCAACTTACTTTTAAAGGTAGAACAAATCAAGGGCATATGAGTACAATCATCATTTACACACATAGTGTATAGGCACTGGAAAAGACGATATAGAAGCATCATCTGTTAGAGCTAATCATTCAATGAAAAAACAGTGTGGTATATACTACTTTGAAGTTCAAATTATCTCAAAGGGCATCGATGGTCATATCGCAATTGGTTTTTGTAGAAAAATCAATAGCTTGGATCGCTTACCAGGTATGAATTACATTAAAAATGATGCTACACTTGCTTACATTATCATCTAAAGGTTGGGAAGAGCATTCTTGGGGATACTATGGACAGAATGGGCATAAATCTTCTGGTCCTGGTACAGATAAATCATATGGTCCTCGATTTACTACAGGGGATGTCATTGGCTGTGGTGTTGATTTCAGAGACATGTCAGCATTTTATACGAAAAATGGTGTCCATTTGGGTGTAGCGTTTAAGAAGATTAAAGAAACAGATCTTTATCCATTCATTGGCTTCAAGTCACCAGGAGAGAAGGTCATGGCTAATTTTGGATCAAAGCCATTCAAATTTGATATTAAGCAGCATATGTTGAATGAAAAAAGGGAACTTATAGATGGAATCACTTTGAAACCATTAGAACCTCATCGCTCACAGTCAGCTGTCATCAATCATTCTACTGCCAAAAATTTAGCAGATAAGCTAGTTTTGGATTACCTTCGTCATCATGGATACACAAAATCAGCAACTGCTTTAGAAAAGAAGATGGCTGCATTGCATGGAGGTGCAGAGTGGATGGAAGAAAATGAATCTGTAGATTTAGATGCTGCTCATAGACAAGGTTAGTATAATCATATATGTTCTATAACAAGGGCTAAACCAGCATAGAAATTCGGCAATTAATTTTTCAAGGCAATGTGGACAAGGCAATTGAAATGTGTAACGAGCATTATCCCAATGTGCTAGATGAAAATCCTTGGATACAGTTCAAGCTGAAGTGTAGAAAGTTTTTAGAAATGATCCAAACGGCAGCTAAACAGAGAGAGCAAGTGGGATCTGTCAATGTTGATCAAGATGAGTATGAAACGAATAGTCTATCTGTGCCAGAAAATGAAACTACTGGCTCAGGAGCAAAGCGTGATAATAAGATGGCAGAAATGGTTGCATATAATAATAAGAAAAAGAAACAAAAAGTGTGCGAGGACATACATGATGAGATGGAGTCATTTCGAGATGTGATGCAATATGGAAATCAGTTAAAGAAAGAGTATGAACGACTGGCAGAAGAAGATCCAGTTATAAAAGATGAATTGATGGTAAGTTTGTTATACATAATAAAGTCATTCTAACCTAGTATACATAGAAAACCTTTTCTACCTTGGCTTATTCGGATTTAACACATCCAGCTGTTGCTTATTTATATGAAACACCCTATAAAGAGAAGCTTGCATTGGAACTTAACTCTGCTATTTTAGGTTGGTATTATATTATGGTTACATAATAGAAACTAACACATCAGTTTGATAGTATCTCTCAATAGATATCCCAATTCATCCATCGAACGTATTTATCGACAAACATCAACTGCCATTGAAGAACTGGTTTTAAGCGGAAATGCAAATGCTGCATTATTGGAACCTCAACGCGATTATTTGAATTTTCTGAGCTAGACTTTTTGTACATTTATTGTAAATCATTTGCTTTCTTTCTTTTCTTTCTCGTCAAGATAAAATAAAAAGAAAAGTTGTAATATATTCTAAATGCTTTCTTCTTTAATAAATATTGAACAGCAATTGAAATGCGATATTTGGTAAATGAAAACTTGTTTAAATGATCGACTAATGTTTTGTATGGATAGTTCCTTTGTATTCAATCAATGTACTGCAATTGAAGAATGCGGACATCGCTTTTGTTTGTAAGTTACTATGGTTACTTAAAAAAATTAAGTTTATTTAATTATACTTAGAGAATGCATCACTGAGAAACTACGCCAAACTTCAGAATGTCCTATTTGTAAAGTGCCTACACAATCAAATGATCTGCACAGAGATTACTTGCAGGATAATCTAGTAGATTATCTTGATCAATTAAAAAAGCTTTCACTCAACCACACGCTCACTCCACTTGAACTCTCATATCAGACAAGAAGCGAAACCGAAGAGGAGCCTAGTTTGACCGATCTGATAGGAAAGCGAAAAAAGTCCCCTGATTCTTCTCCACGTAAAAGACAGGCTACAGACCAAGATATTGACGCGCTTTTGGAGAGCGTAGTAAAAGAGAATCCAGTACAAGAACACGATGTCTTGGTCGATAAAGGTGACGATGCAAAGGATCAGACTAAAAATGAAGCAAACAACAGTGACACACAATGGCAGTGTTCTGATTGCCAGTTTGATAACCCTATCTACGTGCAGACATGTGGTGTTTGTCGAAAGCCCAAGAATATGCCTGTCATCCAGAGCACGAGAACACATTCTGTACCAAATGCTGCAAGTGTCAATAAGGACCTTGAAGCACAGAGTTATATGCCAACAGTGGCTGCTGACAATGAACCAGAGAGTGCTACTATAGCACCTGACAAGGCTCAGAGTACAGAAAATAATAAGCGAAAAGAGGCTCATGTTATGTATACAGGTCTATCATCTGAAGATGAAGAGACGCTCAGCAAGCTGGTCAATAACAAAAGGGATACAAAATTGAAAATCTTTGTTCATTTTAAAATGAGAGATTTTCATGACGTGACGCACATCATTACAAGCGTAGACAATAAAAGGCTATGTAAAAGAACATTCAAGTACCTTCAGGGTGTTCTTGAGGGGAAATGGATAGTGACACCTGCATGTAAGTTCAGATGGTATTGTATACATGTATCTAAAAAATATATATTAGGGTTGATTGATAGTATACATGCAGATCGATGGTTGCCTGAAGATACTTATGAGGTTAAAGGAGATCATGTGACAGGAATAACGCAAGCTCCAATTAAAGGAAGAGAGAGAGTTCAACAAGATGTAAGGGCTACACTATGTATCCATTTTGTGAAACTAATGTATTAAATAGAAAGAGCCGCTCTTTAATGGAATGAAATTTTACTTCTTCGGTGATTTTACGGGAAAGCACAACAAGAATGATTTACTTTTGCTCTGTCGAGCAGGAGGAGGAAAGATATTGAACCGTAAACCAAACGGACTGGGACAACGTGTAGATCCTGATATTGACCCATTAGACCGTAATGAACCCATTGTAATTATGTGTACAGGCAAAAAGAAATCAACCAATCAATGGCTTTATGAATCCCAAGTAAGAGATCCATCATGGATTATCGAATGTATAAGCAAACTATCGATTGTTTAATATATATTTATATTATGTAAATAAATTGTATACACAATAATTTGACCGGATTTAAATTAAGGGAGAAGAGAGAGAGAGAAGGGGAAGGTATATGTCGTATGAATAAGAAGAGAAATAAATGTATGTATATCCATAAATAATAATAAGGCATAAAAAAAAGAAGCATACAAACAATAGAATCGGTAACTAAGCTGGAATTAATGGAGAAAGTGCCACGCATGTAGAGAATCATTCTGGGCTAAAAGCAGAAAAAAAGGGGGGGAAAGAAGCCAGCATGAGTTGAAAAGCAAAAGAGATAGATTGGGAGAGATATTTAGCAGGTGACATTATAAAAAATAAAATTAGTAAGTTTGTACATGCATTGAAATAGTATTTAAATATCGGCTTGATACGCGTTGTCCGGCATATGGCTATTTATTGATGGATAAGGTAAAAACTGATTGAGTGGGGTTGAACACGTTGAAGACTGAAGTGTTGAAGAAGTTGTATCTGATGTTGAAGTAATAGGATTATATGGATGATCCTGGTTGTGCGAGAGAAGATCAATAGATGAAGCTGCAGAAGGGCGCATGAAGACGGCAGCAGCGGCAGCAGCCACAGCAGCAGTAGACGAAGCAGCGGCCACAGCAACAGCAGCAGCATTAGAAGATGGAGATGCACTCTCATGGTACGAATTCATGTTTAACGCGCTGGGGTAATATCCTGCGCCATAAAAGGGGTACTCGGGATAACTGCTAGTGTTGCTTTGATTGTGTGCGTAAAGCAAGGCATGGGGATGGGACGATTGAACAAGTGGGTGAATAGATCCATGTTGAGGACTACCTCTATATCCAGTGATTGTACTTGGAAAAGAATGTGATTGAAGCGATGTATCATAAGCGCAGTCCAAGAAATCGTGATCATCTCGGTCATACATTGGGTGAAAATAAGATTTTTTCGGCGAGGAGTTAGAAGACATACAGGCATAGTTAGGCGAAGCTTCATAGCCACCAACGGAAGAAGGTGGGTCAGAAGATAGATCACTGCCTTCTTTTAAGGAAGATGGCGTACAGACAGTTGGCATACCAGAGTCAAACGAATAAGCATGTCTTGTAAACCTTGGAGGACTTACGCTTTTTGTCACAGTAGGACTGTGTCCACTGTTACGACGTGTAATACAAAATGGACAATGCCGAACGAATCGAGCGACAAGCTCCTTTGGAATCCAAGAATACCTTTTGCGTACCTATTTATTGAAGATGAGATTCTACTACTTTAAATTCAGCATTTCCTTACCAAAGCCGAAGTTTTATCACGCCCACCGTGATGTGCCTCACGATGTGCTTTCACAAGAATGTCATAAATTTGCTCTTTAGTAGCCACAGGCTTGTTGTCATGACAAACTACATCAGATGAACCTGATTGAAGTTGAAACATCTTTTTCACCCAAAAGCGGAACTGGGCAGTTGAAATAGCAGTGTTTCTAGGATCTCTCAACACTTGCTGAATCTGTGAGTAACGATGTTGATCGACCAGAGCCTTGTCTCTTTTTTTAGGACTGAGATTATTGAGGTAATCGTCAACAATGGCACTAAATTCTTGAACAGTAGGAATTTGATCATCATCATCAAAGATTTCGTCAAGAGGAGCTGTTGGTGGATAAAAACGAGGGCAGCTATCAAAGCGATAGCCACCGTAAGGGTGGTGATAGTACGGTGACACTGTTGAGTTCATAAGTATTGATAAAATTTGCTATAGAGAATAGAGAAAGAACAGATGTAACGTAAAGTACAAGTATGGTGTGTATAAAAGTATATATATATATAAGTGTTATATAAGAGACTTGAGAAAAGGCCGTAAAATAAAGAAAGAAGGAAAGAATAGAAAAGAGAACCAATCTCTTTTTGTAGAAAAGGGGGGAAAACATGTTAAGTTGAGAAATGCAGTGGTGTAATATCAAGGAATGAACTATTTAATCGGAACTTTGTATGTATGGATATTTATTATTCATGCAGCCGCACGGGCCTACCTTGCATTTAACCAAAAGAAGGGAGTAAGGAGACACGAGAGAGAGAGGAAGGGGGGAAGAATAAGATGAATAATAAGAGTATATGTGCAAGTGATAGGTGGGTAAACAATAGAGTAAGAGGAAGCTTATTACCGAAATTTTGCTAATGCTTAAAAAGATTCAAGTCATGACCAAGCAAGTTACTCTTTATATTCCTTTGCTTTTTGTTGTCTTTTTGGACCCTGAGTTTCTGATACTAAAATAAAAGAAAAAAAAATTGATTTACACTTTAGGCGGGAGAATGGTTACAGGGAGACACCACGATCGAATACATCAAACGTGGGCTACATTAAAAGCTTAATTCAGGGCTATTTTTTATAATAGCTTATCAGTTTGTTTATTTTAATTAGTTTTCTGTTGGATCTTTTTCTGATATTTTTACATAAATAAACTAGTATTTTTGTTTTCTTTCTCTTTTTTCTTTCTCTTTCTTTTTCTTATTTTCATAACTCCTAAAATGCTCTCTTTTTTATGCGGCATTTATAAGTAAACCCTTAATATCGTACCCTGATCTAATTACACAAGCGTGTCATACTCACATAAAAAATGTGTTCAATCAGGAATTATTTACATCATATTATTCAAGGCAGTAAGCCTGCTTAGTTTATATTATTCCCATTCCAGAATAATTGACATTGTCTACTCTGCCGTTTTCAAAAAGAATGTTTCTTTAAAATTCTGAAATATTCAATGCTTTTTTAGTGTATAATGTTGAAATACATTAATTTATATTTATGAGCATTTTATACATGGTTGTGTCTAGTGGCCATTTTTATAAATAATGCTTAATCTGTGTTATCTTCTGTGTTATCTTCTTTGTTGTCTTCTCTGTCGTCTTCTCTACTTTCTGTTGCCTCTATTGTATTATCCTCTTGTTCATTATTTTGTTCTACTTCATCGCACGGTCCTTCTATACCATTCATCTTTGGTCGATCCATATCCTGTTCGGCCACATCATTCGTCTCTTCATTTGCTTCTTCATTTGTTTCTTCATTATCACTCAAGGGAACTGTAGATGCCATGGAGACAGTACCATAAAATCCTTCCGAGTCATCCTCAGTTCTTTCTCTAGCTGCATTTCTACGTCTATCTACAAACTCCTGCCAACTAGACCTCACTCCCAATGTCTGTTTCAATAAGTAACCGTTATTACTATCAATCAATTTACCTTTTGGAGAGCACGAAGGTATTTAAGATATGTTTTATAATGCTGGGTTGGGTTCACAACCAATTCACAAACACGCTGAATGGTAAATGGGCAACTGTGTGTTCATACGTGTAGCCTCGTAAGTCAACATCTCTTTTTATAAACACATCAACTTACTCTTCTAGCTTTTGTAATATTTCTGAAATATCTGCTGTGATGCGATCAGCTTGATTTCGTACATTGCTATCTTGTAGTTTAGGATCCATAATGCGTGATTGCTGCAATTTATCACTTCATCAATACATCAATAAAATAAATAATAAAGAAGCTAACCTTTGATACAATACGATTCAAGATTATCCTCAATTCTGACCAAGGTGTCATGACTTGATTTGTTTCTGCAATCTTTTCAAGTGCCTCAAGTGCCTGTTGCTCTGATGATTTTAATGATTCAAAACTATCTTCAATCTCTACAAGATCTGGTCGTGCTTCTTGTCTAACACTTGACTGTCTTTCGGTTACTGCATTACCATTACTTTGTTGGCTAGAGCCATTTGAATCCAAAATGCGGCTGTCATTGCCAGGGCTTGACATTTGAGAAGAAAAAGAAGAGAAAAAAAAGTGTAAAAAAAAAATAGTGTATTCGCGCTTACCCCGCGTTCTTATTGGCTAAAATGACCTTTACCAAGCAACAGTTCAAGGTCTACTTTAAGTAAAAAAGAAAAAGACAAAAAGACCTAAAGAAGATCGCTTTTTGGTATATTGCTTCCTAACCATCAAGTGCAGTAAGGGTCTTTATTAAGAAAAATTATTATTTTTCTTCTTTTTTTTTTTTTCTTCTCTTTAACTTTTTAAAGGATGGCCAATTTGGAATCTGCAGCTGAAGTGCTTAAAGCACTCCATGACCTTTATGATGTGGACAATTCAGCAAATAAGAAAGAAATTACTCGCTTTTTAGAACGGTTTCAAAGAAAGGTACGCCTTTGTTTATGACATGCGTATAGATGCTAACTTGGTATTCCAGCATGAAGCTTGGGCAACTGCTGATTACATTTTAAAAAGTGACAACTCAAACGTACAGGCTTATTTATTTGCTGCACAAACCCTCAAGATCAAAGTAATGTTTTATATTTACAATGTCAGGGCCTGCATAACTTATTCCTTGTAATAGATTGTATCCGACTTGATTGATTTAGACGCCACAGCTCGGTTACAATTACGCGATTCGCTTTTAGGATTTCTATGCACGCGTGTTGGTGAGATCCGAGCTGTAAGAGTTCAGCTATGCCTTGCATTAGCTGACCTGGCCATTCAGATGCTGGATTGGAAAACGGTGATTCCTGATCTCACAGAAGCATTTGGTCGATCACGAGAAAAGGTCACTCTCTTTCTTGAGATACTCAAGGTTCTATCTGAAGAAATGGAAAGCAACTCGAGAATACCTTTAAGTGTAAGTGATGAAAAGGAGAAATAGGATCAGGAACTGATATCCTCTTGCTCAGAATGAAGAGTATAAAGCAAGAGCAAAAGAGCTCATTGACGACAACGCCGAAGAAGTCTTGCAGCTACTGAATTCGTATATGCAAACTAGTGGTAAGTACAGCAAAGTATGCCTAAGAGGGATCTAATCATTCTTTTGCAGGAGACGATGTTGAACTTCAGGAGCAGATATTTAGATGCTTGGATAGTTGGATTTATACAGGATCAATTGACATCAAATCGCTTGTGGTCAGTCCCTTATTCGGATTTGCATTTGAGGGACTTGGTTCTGAAGAGCTATTTGAAGTTTGCTCTGATGTCATTGTCGAGATTATAAGGGAAACGCGTGATGTGAACGAATATAAAGAAGTGATAGAACAGATTTATCCACTGTTTGGACCTATGCTTAACAAATTAAGAATAGCCATTGGAGATGACAATGACGAGGCTGTTGCTGGCTATTGTAGAATATTTACCGAAGCAGGTGATGCATATGTGACATTAATCGCCCTACATCCTGAAGCATTTGGTGTACTACTTGATGGTATTGGTGAATGTGCAGCCTACAATGACTTTGAAGTGGTAGAGATGACTTTCAAATTCTGGTACGAGTTGACAAACACCCTTATAAGCGAAAAATATCAAGCAGCCATACCACATTTAGCGCCCTACTTTGATACACTAGTGGATATCATGTTAAAGCATCTTCAGTACCCTCCCGATGAAAACGTCATGACAGCAGAAGACAGAGACGAGTTCCGAGACTTTAGACATCATATGGGCGATACATTAAAGGACTGTTGTCGTATTCTAACGCCTCAGCGCTGCTTAGCAAAACCACTTCACTTGGTTACCAATTTACTTGCTCAACCTAATGCGACTTGGCAACAAATTGAAGCGCCTATTTTCTCTCTTCGTTCAATGGGATCCGAAGTTCCGTCAGACGAAAATGAAGTGATGCCAGCCATTATGGAAATGCTATCAAAACTGCCCGACCATCCAAAGATTCGCTATGCTGCGATACTTGTTATTTCACGCTATTCATTCTGGACAAAGTATCATTCTCAGTACATCACATATCAACTAAACTTCATTTCTTCTGGATTTCAGGATCCAGAAGTAGCTGCAGCTAGTGCGCTTGCTCTTAAACATCTTTGCAAGGACTGTAGTAAGGTAGTGCCTTTTAATTATATTTGTTTAATACCTAACCATTTGTATAGCAACTTGTAGAGTACATCTCGCAGCTACAAGTATTCTATGTCAACATTATTAGAACGCTTGATTACCCTGATGATAATGAAGTAACTGAGGCTATTTCACATGTACTTGCTCAGCTTCCTGTGAATGAAATTCAAAATGCATTGCAAATATTTTGCCTGCCAGTCGTCCAGCAACTACATGAGCTTGTGACAAAAGCTCAAAGCGGTGTCTCGGTTACTGATGATGTTAAAAGCTATGTAAAAATTGGAGGTACGTGTTTCTTTTCTATTAAAATATATAGACATTATATAACCCTGTATTCCTTATAGACACTGCAATGCTGATTAGTATATTCTTCAAAGTCATTCAACCTGAAGTACCGCTCGGCCAACCTCATCCATGCATTAATTTTATCAATGAACTTTGGCCCGTGTTTGACCTGACACTAACTCAATTCGGCGGTGTGAATACGATCTGCGAGCCTCTATGCAAATGTTTTGTTGAAATGATTCGTTCTTATCGTCAGCATCTTTTGCTCTTAGTTCCTCAAATTATGGAACGTATGGTGAAAGCATTTGAAGCAACTGGTCACGGAGTGTATGTGTGGGTAGCTCAGAAACTAGTAGTCAATTTCATTCAACAACAAGAGATGACTGGCTTGTGCTGGGAACTTGTCAAAAAGATGAGCGAAATCTTGTTTATAAAGCTACAAACAGTGCCACTTGATAACATTTCCGCAGCAATAGGAGATTACTTCAAACTGATCACTTGTATCTTAAAGGATAGACCCGAGTTACTTCTGCAGGACCCTGTGTTATTATCGACAGTGTTTAGAGCAGGTTTGGCTGGGTTGCCGATGAAAGATAACGTCAGCTTGTTGGATACTATTGCATTTTACCGTGAATTGGTGGATAATCATCTACTAGTCGATATCGTACTTGGCTTATTTAAGGAATTTGGAGGAAATCTGATATCACTATTGATGAACGGAATGCTAAGCTACTTTTCCTCGGAAGTAACTGATGATTCGGTGAGATTGGTGGTATCGCTATCAAAATCACTGCCTAATGAATCTATCCAATGGATGGCAAGTGTTATGGATCAAGTACCTATGGACTATACAAGCGTAGAAAAGAAGAGCGAATTTATGAACAAGTGGGCAGCGTAAGTGTTATAGATGATCGATCGAATAAGTGACTAACATGATTTACCAAGGGCAATTCATGAGCAGCAATTTAATAAGCTAAAGTCTAGTTTATCAAGGTTTATAGCCTTAAATGAAAGAGATACTTAAAATAAATTTTATTTGCTTTTTTTATCCAATCTTCTTGTGAATTAGGTCATATGACTTTGTAGCTCTTGTTGTACAGTCTAACTTGAGGTTAAGCACGCCACATTACGATATACAATAGTGCGTCTTTTTCTCTTAATTTTGTTCTAAGCTTTCTTTTTGTCTCGAGAATACGGATCAGTAAAGCACTTGAATAGCTAACACTGGTACAAGCAATACCGAATTTACCTCTGGAATTAGAATGTCTGTATCACACACTCTCTCTGTTTGATGAGTCTATGTATAATATTTTAATCAACCTAATTGTCTCGTGGCGAGTCTCTCATCTCACATACAATTGCTGTTCTTCGTGTTTAATGTTTGTTTCAATCATTTTATCCTGTTTCTTTTTTACATATTGACCTATTGAAATTCGGGCTCCGCAGTCAGATGAATTTAATTACTATTTTATAAAAATAATTCTTTTTCACTTTTGTAACAAAAGAGAGAGAAAGAAAAAGAGAGAAATGATACGATTTTTTTTTATAGTCAATAGATCATGCAAAACAAGATATGCGAAATATTATCAGACAATTCAAGATACTCCAGCATTTGAGTTAGAAATAGCCAGGAAATGTATAACAAGAAAACAGAATCAGGCAAGAATAATAATAAGAAGAAGAAGAACGTTTCTAACTAAAGAACAGACACTATTCTTTCAACTAGATGAGTATAAAATAGGTAATTTTACTACAGGGCGAAAAAAAAAGGAGTTACTAAAAGTAGCAAGTTTACCGTGTGTATGCTTCGTTATACTTTATTATTGGATGCGATCTGGACGACGTATGTTTATAGAAATTAGATTAAACTGGATATTAACCAATTATAATAGAATGAGTTTTCTATGCTTGAACTCATTCAACTCTGTGTTGGTGAGATTTAAAAAAAAAAAAAGAGTTTGAAAAGCCATGTTAATTCATTGCCATAGAAACTATGAACCAAACATTTGAAAAAGCAGTAAGAACAAATATTTTTTTTTCTTGTGTAAAACTGCATAATAAGCAAAATGGAATAGACGGAACTTGATCTTGTGTTCAACCTCGAAAAAGTTCACATGATCATTGACGAAGTTATAGCAAAAGGTCTCATCTTAGAAACCAATCAGCAGAGGCTTCTTAATTTTATGGGCAGCCTTTATTCTATCTAATGTCCGCCTATCGCTTTTTTTTTTCAGATAAAATTTGCGCGTAACAAAGATTAAATTTTGTTTTTAAGCTTTCTCTTCCTTTCTCTTTTCTTTTAATTATCTCTTTTTTTTTGTATGAGCAATAAATACTCGGTAGAACAAGAAAGCACTATAAAAGCTCATCACAGCGCAGAAAAACCTCCTCCAGAATACGAAATTGAAAAAATGGACAGTAGTTCATACCATTCAAAACGATCAAAAAATGCCATTGGAGATGAAGAAGATTTAGAATCACTTCAACATGGAACTCATAGAGGTTTAGACGCTAGACACATCCAAATGATTTCACTGGGTGGTGCTATTGGGTAAAAAGATGGTCGATCAATATATCATATTTCTTTACTAACTCTTACTTTGAAGCACTGGGTTATTCTTGAGTTCTGGTAGCAGCATTGCTGAGGTTCACATCACTTTTCCTTTTTTTAAAAAAAAACCTAATCGACTTTTTGTAGGCTGGTCCCGCTGGTGCTTTGATTGCCTACTGTGTTGGTAAGTAGTACACATATTGAAACTCAACGAATAGTGTAACTTACTATTTTTGTTAGTGGGATTTATGGTAATTGACCTCAACTTTGATTTCTCAATTAATACAGTTCGACTTATTTTGTGATGATAGGTGTATTGTATTATGACATGTCTAGGTGAAATGGCTACCTTCATGCCTGGTAAAGCAATTTATAAGCTTCTGGCATATTCAGTGTACTCATTGGTTGTTATAGTATCCGGTTCATTTAATCATTATGCAACAAGGTTCGTTGAACCTTCACTCGGTTTTGCTTTGGGTTGGAATTATTGGTTCTCAGTAAGTTTTTTTTTATAGAAAGCACACAACAAAGCTTAAACTAATATTCATTGTTTTCATAGTGGGTAAGCTCTTAAAGACATGATGCGTTCTTTTTCTTTACTAACCAACATCTGCCCTCGATCAAAGTCTGTTACAATTGCTACAGGTACGATATTAGAAAATGTTTATTTTGAAACAACATGGATTGACAAATAACTACGTAATATACAGAACTTGCTGCAGCTGCGACCATTATTAAATTCTGGGGTCAACTTATGCCTGACCCTGCATGGTCAACCATCTTTTTAGTGCTAATCGTTGCTGTCAACTTTATGGGAGTTAGAATCTATGGTGAACTCGAATACTGGTTTGCCTTGATCAAAATTTTAATTGTTATTGTGTTCATTATTATTGGTAAGAAGAAGAAAAACATTACGCAGCCAATTACGCTGGTACTCAATGATTTAAACTAGGTATCCTTGTTGCTGCTGGTGCTGTTGGTGGCCATGTAATCGGTTTTGAGTAAGACCCCTTTTTTTTTTTTTTTACACAAAAACTCACCCTACATTTTAGGTACTGGAAAAATCCTGGTGCTTTTAACAACGGAGCAGTAGGCACCATAAGTGTATTACTTTCCGCGGGTTTCTCGTTTCAAGGAACCGAAATTGGTAATAGTGCCATACCTGATACATGTGACCCTGTGAGATACTAATTTGTATTGGATAGTCGGTATCACCGCTGGTGAAGCCAAGAACCCTACAAAGACTGTGCCAAGGGCCATTCGTAACACCTTCTGGCGTATTCTTGTTTTTTACATTTGCACTATCTTCTTGATCGGTTTGTGTATTCCTTATAATGATGAAGGATTAACCAACCCTGATGGCGGTGCTGGTACTGCCTCTTTCACTTTGATTTTCCAAGCTGCTGGTATTGATGTCGGCGCCCATATCATTAACGCAATTGTCCTTACAAGGTATATCAAATGTAATTGTTACACGAGTATCTTTCTTATCTTCAAATAGTGTTTTATCTGCCGCCAACTCTTCTTTATACACTACTTCTCGTACCCTCCTTGGTCTTGCAAGAGATGGCAACGCACCTGCTTTCCTTGGCCGTGTGAATAAATACGGTGCTCCTTTTTGGTAAATATAGTATAGACTTTCTCACGATCATTTTCTCACGTTCTTCAACCCAGGGCTGTCATCGTTTCCTCTGTTATTGGCTTTGCCTGTGTCTTTGTATCGATTTATAGGTAAGTACGCATGTGTAACCTAATGATGTATATAGTAATCATGATTGCTATAGTGCTGACAAGGCTTTCGTTTGGTTCCAAAATATTACTGCGGTCTCAGGTTTCATCAGTTGGGCTGGTATTGGTGGTGTTCATATTCGTTTCCGTCGTGCTTATGTTCGTCAAGGCAGAAGTATAGCTGAGCTTCCTTACACAGCAATGGCCTATCCCTTCAGTGGTCTCTTTTCTTGTATTCTCGCCATCTTGATCGTCTTGGGTCAAGGTTACGATGCCTTTACTCCCCAATTTGATGCTGTTCAGTTCTGTACTAAGTATGTTGGTATCGTTCCATTTATCTTGTGCTATGTCATTCACAAGGTTGTTACAAGAAAGAAGTTGGTTGCCTTGGAGGAAGTTGATTTCGAAACAGGTCGTGTCACCCGATTTGATATTGAAAAAGACGCCGAAGTAGATGAACATATTCCTCGTTGGAGACGTTTTTTCAACTTTATAGCCTAAAACGTCATACAATACCCTCTGTTACTCTCTTTCTCTCTTTTTTTCTTTTGCTCTCTGAATTGAATATACACCATTTTACTTATTATAAAAACGTAATTTAATCAAGTTATAGACTATAAACAGCGTCCTCCATTTGGCAGTGTGTAACTCATCTTGAAACAAAGTTACACAAATTTACAACTATTCCGCGCTTGAAAAGTTGCACACTCGTACATAGCTTGACCCTGAGGGCTTTCATTGTATAGTTTTTAGAAATTTTGTGAGTGCATAAAAGTAAATAATCTTATAAAATAAAGCCCTTGTTTTAATAGATTGTTTAAATATATATATATATATATATATTATCAAGATCTATTGCATTACAAGCCGTATATAATCTGTAAAACATCATGTTTATTAGGTGCCTTTTATTCTCAATGAAATGATGCTCAGAGTACAACAGAATATATTCTTGGCAACACAGATAAATGACAAAATAGTACTGACAAGATAATTCAAACGGCTCAAAGGAAAATAGGAAATGCCGTTTATTTACATGACATGACAATCATTCTCTACTTTAGCTTTTCTTGATTGTTCAGCAATTCGTATGCTTTCTTCATAGTATCTTTTACTTCTCTTCCTCTTTGTGCTTATGATCACACTCTTTCGTTTGTTGAAAGGGACGTTTAGCTTATCCTCTGCAAGTTTATATCCTTTGGCAGCCGATTTACTAAACCACACGAGTGCCTGGGAGTAATCTGGATATACTCCTATCCCTTCTTCATAGTAACATCTAGTGGGTAATACTAAATTAAAAAAGAATAACAAAAACAATAACAAAAACGTACCCTAATGTATATTCAGCAATTTCGTTCCCATTTTCAGTGGCATATAGACACCACTTATACGCCATTAAAGCATGAGGACTTAGATAACCCGGGATACCATCTTTGTATAGTCTTGATAGTTCTAACATCGCCTCATGAGACTTTTTTTCAGCTGCTCGTGTATAGTATTTGAATGCCTCTTCATCACTCTTGACTTGTCCAAGCTGACCATGTTCATAGATCTTTCCTAAACGAAAAGCGGCGGCGGCCATACCGAGTTCATCTGCCTTTTTAAAATATTGAATAGCCAAAGGATAATATTGTTCAGTTATCCATGAGGATAAAATGGAGTTTCTATCATCTCTTTGTGAGTATACATAAAAGAGAAATTTGTCCTACTTACTTTTCAAGGTCAATACTTTCAAGGTCATTTGCATAGATGCATGCAAGGTCATATGCAGGTCGTGCACAGTCTTGGTTATTCCCTGCATCTGCGGCTTGTTTAAGGAAGGCTAGTCCCTGATGTACGTCTGTTTCTTGACTCAACAGACCACGCAGTAAGATATTTGCCAGTTTCTTAGCGTTAAAAGAAGGTTAATAACATGAAATAGTTGATTCTTTAAACTTACATAAAGTGCCAATGTATGATTCTTTGAAGCGGCATATTTATAGCTTGTGATTGCCTTTCTATATTCTTTTTGGCTCACGTAATACTCTGCAAGTTCATAGTGTGCCTCTGTACAACCCAACTTGGCTGATTGTTGAAAGCACTTGAATGCCTTGGAGTGATTCACTCTTTTATATTGTGATCCAATAAGATGATACTGCTGACCAAAGCGATGCCAGTGACCTTTAATATACAAAGCTTCAGGGTGATTAGACTTGGCAAGCTTTTCTATCCAGTACTCTGCCTCTTCTTGTAAGCGCTCCCTTGTCTCGGCAGAAACAGATGAGATGGCTTCATTGTTGGTTTGATTGTTATTGGAATAGAACAATACAAGCTGAATCAGGTACTTTGCATAGGTGAATTGCGTTTGAGGATCGTGTGTCTTATTGGCCATTCTACGAAATGTCTTGATGGATGCTTTATCGTGTGTAAGACTGAATGAGGTCATGGTAGGAATAGGTGAGTTCATAAAGTAAGTGTTTTCTGGCTTGACTGTCGTAGGTTGAAATGGTGGTGTCATCAAAGCGTGATTTATCTGTGATAGGTTCTGGACGTCCATTAGTAAGGAATTCTGCAGTGGTTCTTTGTTGTATGCCTCCTCTTGTTGATGCTGATGTTGATGTAATGGGAATGGTGGTGAAGAGACAGAGCCAAGGTTTAGAGTGCTTATATCATCCAGTATCTCCCTTGTTTCCTGAGCTTGGACTGTCGAATCAATGGATGATGAGGGCGATGTTCGACCACTTTCAAGGCTTGGTTCGCCTTGATCAGAAGTATCTGCATGCTCAGATATTATATAATGATCTGTTGTTGTTGTTGGAGGTAGCGTTAGGTACTCCTCATCCTCCTCATCCACTTCTAACACAGGTGTCATTAACTTTTTAGAAAAGAAAAATGAAGGCTCTGACAAGATATAAGTGCTTGTCGGGATCTCTGTCTTTGTGGAATATACACCGCCACATTCTTCTTCTTCTTCATCGTCATTTATTGTCTGAAATATTTGTTGAGCTGTAAGTCTCTTTTGATTCTTGAAACTGTCTATTACATTCTCAATCTTGTTTAGTGGTAAAGTAGGTATGTCTCTGGATGAAACACGCTCGGGTATCTTTGGTAATGGGCGTGATTTTTTCATAGAGATTTGTTCGACCATTGTCTTTTCGTCCTTATAATTGTTATTGTTTTCAGTCATTGAATGATACATAAAAGAAAGGGTTAAATTTGTGTATTGACGACTTTTCTGATTTAGAGAGAACAGTAAACAAACTCACTAAAAAAGGCAATATTTTTATTTTTCAATTTTTGATTTCAATGCCTGGTAAAGGGTTAAACTTGACAATAGCTTAGCATCAGGCGACTCTTTCCATGCGTCTTTAAATGAGACCAGTCTTAACGTAATGTTTTCCCCATGATCACGAAGGCCCGTCAATTTGCCCTCTAACTCATCAATCTCAGACTTGTCCAGATGCTTCACGCATGCAAATAATCTTAAAAACTCATCTAATCGATATATAATGATTATTACTAGTTTACTCTTTGTAATAAACATTTTACCTGATCCGCCTGCAGAAGGGTACACGCCACGGTATTGATCACCGTAGGCTAACTCAGTTAGATCTACAAGTTCTTCTTCTTTTATTTTTAATCCAGTTTCCTCTTCAATCTCTTTTGCTGCTGTTCCAACGAAATTACCAGACCCATCTAGCATACCAGCTGGTAGCTCAGGAAAAGCAAAATGAGGTATAGGTATACGTGGTTGAAGAGTAAGTATGATTTTATCTTGTTCATCTTTAGCTTTCAGTACAAGTAGCATAGATACAGCACCTCCTCTCTTTTTCAAGATATTAGCTTATATTTTTTAAGCTTGATTTACTTTACCATAAATACAATGCCTGGTGCACTTTTGCCTGTTTTCTTGTATTGAACATTTGCTTTAAATTTGATGAATCCAATTTTATCACCAAAACGGTCGATACTCTGTATATCAACAGATTTAAAGTCGAATTCATTTTGACGTGACTTTTGCTGTTTATTAAATGCTATAAGCCAGTCTTTGAAAGGTTGAAAAGCCAAGACATCATTTATTTCATGCTTGGAATATGCGCTATAAACAGGAACAGCCTGATTAGCAATGTGAATGGTTGCTTTTACTTGTTGTGAAGTCATCAAGGTGAAATGACGAGAAAAAAAAGTTGAAAAAAGCAACTTGCGCATATTTGGTAAAGCAAGCAAAAAAAAAAAAAAAAGGAAAAACCCCAGTCTTACAAAGAGAGAGAGAGAATGTTTTATTTAAAAGTTTATATATGAATTTATTATTTCTTAAGTTTAGGAGGATTTGGTTTTGTTACTTTTCCACCTTTACTACGTTTACCTCCTTCAAAGCCAGGACGTGCCTTCTTCTTGTTTCCTTTAGGTTTAATACCCTTCTTCTTGTTTTTCTTTTCTTCTATCTTGGCTTTAATGTTTTCTTCTCTCTTTTTGATCGAATGCATCTGATCCTTCTTTTGTTTTTCTAAACGTTTCTTCCATTCTTGTGCACTCTTTTGCTTTTGTTTCTCTTGTCTCTTTACTGTCTTTTTCAATAATTTAGGATCATCCTTCACTTTTTCGCCTGTTGCTAATGCGAGCACTTTATTCCATTCTTCTTTTTCCATCATTTCTTCAGCCTTTGATTTATCTTCTTGCTTCAACTTTTCAAGTTTCTCCTTCTTTGCTTCTGCTAATTTCAGTTGTGTCTTGGCATCAGTAGGTCCCTTCTTCTTCTTTTGTTCTTTGCCAACATTTAACTTGCCAAAGAATACATCAGCATCTGTTTTAATAGAATCTGCAGAACGTTGATTGCCATTGGGCGTTGTATTGTTTGTCTATAGCACATCTTAGAAAGGCACGCTAAAAAAAAAATAACAAGATTACCTTCTTATCGACTTGCACAAGTTCTTCCGTTGGCACATTATTGCCCTTTTCTTTCTGTGCCTTGATGGCCTTCTTTCTATCTTCCTTCTTTTTATTTCTAGCAGACAGAATTTCATCACGACTTTTAGGTTTAGCTGAATTGGCTCCTGGAGCATTACGTTTCTGGCGTAGTTGATTGATTCGTTCATGAAGGCGATGACGGAGTTGTTCGATGTCACTTTTTTCCATTGGTTTAAGTTGAGCTGTACATTACAATCAATACAAGATCCAGGAGGTAGAGACGTTTACATTTATTTATTTACCTGGCTCTTGTGTACTTGTTGAAGTAGATTCAGTTGCTATTGATTCACTATCATCAAGACCGCTGAATCCACTTGAATCAACTTCCATAGACATTTCTTCCTCTTCTTCTTCTTCCTCTTTCTTTGCTTCTTCTTCTTCTTTTAGTTGTTTGGCCTTTTCATCTTGTACGTCCATCACCGTCTTTACGTTGTCAGGATCAAGCTTTGCTTTTTTTGCTTTTTTGGTTGCTTCTTTAATAGCTTGCTTAGGTGCCTTTTTACGTTTGTTGTGTTGGAATTTTGAATCAATATGATCATTTTTATCCATGACGTAGAATTTGGCGGGTATAAGCTTTAGTAAGTTATCAAATATGTGTACATCTTTAGCTAAACGCTCCGATAAAGAATCAATCAAGTGATTTTGAACCATGACTTCTAGTTTAATTATGAAAAGGACAGAAAAAAAGAAAAAAAGAAATTTTGTGGCGAATATTAAAGTCACATTGTGACTTGTTTAAATATACGACTTGTTTAAAGATGAGACCAAAGATATGACCATCTCATTGGATGCATTGTCCTTTTTCCAAGTCAATCCTAATGGTGAATCTAATCAATTTCTATAGTTAATCCCTTTCTCCTCTTGATTTACAAAGAATACTTGAACTATTTCTTGTTTTCTCTTCAATACAGATATTCCAAGTTTATGATTGGCTAGCTGAGACCTTCTATTTTACCATAAATTCAATTGGACAAGAGAACCAAAGTGCAATACTGACGTAAATTAATATCGATTGAGCTGGTATTATAATGTATAACGAAAACCGAACATCCCTAATACATCATGACATACAATCACGGACTAAGAGTGTTTGATCAAAAAACATGAGCATTATAAAGGAATTATAATTGACAAGTCTGTGTATTTATTCATTTGATAAACAACTACCTCTCTTCCTTAATTATTTACACATCTCTTTATCCAGCTGTTCCTGTAACAGAGAAAACCCATACGGATACCTCTTTTAATTGTGTTACACTTTATTAGCTGCAATGATGCCTATTGCAAGCATCACTTACAGATGCTCTAGGAAAACGGCTTTTCCTATTATACGTCTTGATCTCTTGTTCTTTCAAGCGCATGTAGAATGCCTATTATGACCCTATCTTCAATAGCTTCACAAAAATAAATGTCTTTTAACTGCTAGAACACCTTTAACATCAGATTGACATATAGAACCAACACTCCATTATTCATCGTTATCAATTGCTTATTCTGTAAATAATGATGTCGAGACTAACTTTTAAAATGATAAAGATAACAGTTTATTAAGCTCATTCATAAAAAAAAACATAAAGAAACATCAACCTCAATTGATCCTTGATTTATCTTCCTCTTGCTTTGTTAAGGCTGCCTGTGGGTTCGTATTAGGTGGCTGCTGTTGCTGAGGTTGTTGTTGCTGCTGCTGCCAGTATCCTGGTTGCTGTTGTTGAGAAGACATATAATGAGGCTGCTGATTACCATAGAATGGTTGTTGCATGCCATATTGAGAAGGCTGCTGTTGACTTGATTGCTGATAAGTAGGATAGTTGTATGGCAAATGACTACCCGTATTGTTTGTATTAGGAGCACCAGGTGCGTATTGTGAAGAAGCATATCCAGGTGCTCCTCCTCCCACACCATATCTTGTATTAGGTGGTTGAGTCAACTCTTGTTTTGGAGGTTCAGGCTAAATGAATATAAAGTTAGTATATAACCGCCTTTTCTCTTTTATTTTCTCATTGGTTATTATTATTATTACCTTTGTGTCTTCAAACTTGGACTTGGCGTCATTCACTTGAGGTGAAGTGTTTGAATAAGACGCGTCCCCAGACTATGAATACCAAAAGAATAAGTTTCAAATACGAAAATGATGATTATTTTTTTCTTTACCGTAGAAGGTTCACTTGGATCAGGTGCATTTAAGCAAGCTTGAATAAGGTTTTTTCCTTCTGGTTTTGTCACAATAGGCTGTAATTTAACAGTTGTAAAGGTATACACAAGCCCGGTTTCAGAAACAACTAATAGTAATACTTGAGTACCTGTCAAAGTACTTAATTCATAAGCCTAACAAAAATGGGTTACTTTGCTCCATCTTGCGAATTACTATAAATGTATGTTTATATACCTTTTTCATAATTCCGGCTTTTCTTTTAGAAAAGGTGATATGTCTTCTATTTTTGTCCTCAATATACTCTATCTTGATCTTTCTTCTGCCAGAACGTCTAGCAGGCTTCTCGGAATCAGAATCATTGCCACTGTCATTGGCAGGATCCTCTGTTTCAAACATTTTACTGTTATTCATATCATGAGACATCTTTGGTAAGGGGTCAGCGGGGAAAAAAAAGGTAAATCAAATATAAAAAAAAAATGGTTATTGGGGAGGCTAAGCTGCCATTGGCTTTTAATTGGCCCAATGTTAAGCGATGACATAATAAACTATTTAATGTCCGGTATCAGTCTCGAACGCCCAGAAAACAAACAAGTGGGAGACAAAATTTGCCGTTAAAGAGAAAAAAAAAAAAAAAAAGCCAAGAACAAACAATGAAAGGGAAAGAAGGGGATATAGGATGATGTCTATCTAGTTTGAATCATGATGTTAGAAATTAAAACCAAGAATAAAAGGAGACCATCTATGGAAAGATCGCTACTTACTGACTAAATTTGTAAAGTAGGTTGAACTTCAAATGTATACTATGTTAAAAATAATAAAAATAGAGTAATATTATACGCAACTGTTTCTTTTGAACAAAAGGAAGGGGCGCTCTTGTTCTATTTCTCTTAATAAACAACCATACTCCGTGTAAAAAGAGAGTGTAGATGTAATATTTAGTTTTCTTCTCATTATGCTGATCTGTTCCCTTATAAAGCAAATAACCCCTGAATTTTATTTTTATTTATTTAGAAGCTGCAAGAAATTTACATTATAAAGAAATCTTTCTAAAAAAAGACATATGTATTTACACGTGTTTACATACAGCAGTTAAGATTCTTCCTGCTGTCTATCCAATTTATATATCCATTCTTCAGGTAGATTGGGTAATGCTTGATGCTCATTATCCATTTCAGATAAACTGGGTAGACTGAATGGCAACATGATTTTAGTATTAAGCATCTCTCTATTTTCTTCCAAACATAATTGCTCAGGTGGACGAGTGAAATAAGATAGACTTGATCGTCCATAGATACTTGTACGATGATTATTGGCTTCACCTGACTGCTGTCTGACCTTGTCTTGTACACACTGCATTGTATATTTCTCTATTTCATCTGGTATTCGTGGTTCATTAACTTCATACCTATAAGAAAGCACACATCGTTTGATCTGAGATGGACTGAGAGCATTCAATTCTTGAATGACTTGAATAAAGTGAACCAAATCCTGTAGCTGAGTTAAACACTGTAAGAGCTGAAGTAGTTGTGTGATTGGGTTTAGACAAGATACAACTTGAGTAAGAATTCGATGAGTTGAAGCCCAGTCTTCTAGCTGAGAGAAATTCATTCGTATTTGCATTGCTTTGGATCTACAAATATATTTCTTATTTGTCAAGATGCGATTGAATGATTCACAGGATATAAAATGATAAAGTTGAGTGAATAGTTGAGTAATGATGATATGATGAACTTGATAGGATTGCAAAATATGTAACAAGGAGGAAAATAGTTGAGTGATGGTTTGTGGTGAAAATGTGTACATGGACAATCTATTGTTTTTAGTGGAATTGTTAAAGAAGAACCTTTGCCAGCTATCTGCAAATTGAACTTGCTCCATATCGGGTATAAAATCATGATCAAGAAGCGCCAAGTTGAGTATACGTACTATTCTTTGCTCTGTATCGCGTATAAGTGCTGTATATAATTCGGAGACAAGCTCTGATAACTGAAACTGCTGTTCGACTGTAGCCAACACAAGGCTATTATCCTTTTTGAGGTAAAATAATAACTGAGTCAAGTTGGCAATCCAAAAGATTAATAAATGTATATCTGGGCCCTACAAAAGAACTGAGAGTTATAAAAATAAACACCACGTGTATATATATATAATTTACGTTTGGGTTGATCAGCATATGGATTCTATTAAGTACGCCCTCGATGATGGCTTCGAATGATGGCTCGGTTGAGTAATAAAAGCTGTATCTTATGCTCAGGAATATAATATTGGCTGGTATGTACATATCATCTCTATTATTGAGTGGTAACTGAAAGTGTACAATGATTGAATCTAATATGTATTGTAGATCATCTTGGTTGAATACAAACATTTGGTCAGGAGAACACTTGTCCCACTGAAATGTACAATCTCGTTCATCTTGTTCACATAGATCAAAGTCATAAGACGAACAAGACGTAGAAGAAGAAAGGGTTTTTGAAAAAGTACTTGATGCATTTGAAGACATACTGTCTCTTGAGTCTGTGACCAATAAATCAGCCATTTTTTGATCATCTGTGCCGATAAAGTCAAATACAGTTCTTCCTTTAACTGATTTAGTCTCTAATGAAGCACCATTATTAAGTAATAACTGAACAATTGATTCATGATGATTAGTAGCTGCCCACATTAATGCCGTCCAACCCACTAAAATGAAATGTTAATGAATTTGTTTCTATCAATTTCGTTATTTTTGATATATTAATCCTACAGCTATCTTGAACATTTATATCTGCTCCTGCTTCTATCAGCACTTTGGCGACTTCTGCTTTACCAAAGCATGCTGCATAAACTAATGGTGGTGTACCATCCCTATCTCCTGCATTAACAATATAAGGGTCTATCTCTGGATCTGACAGCATTTCCTTTAGCTTTAATATATTTCCTGAATGAACTGCCCTGTTAAACAATATGCTATTGTCTTCTGGTTCATTATTGTTTATGTTGTCAATAGATACACTAAGTAGTTGAGACACTTCATGGCGACTGTCTGCTATTCTCTTTGACATTTCCTCCCAAGATAATGTTTCCAGATGTTTTAATAATATTTCTTTCTCATCGTCTACTTCTTGACTCGACATTTAAGCAAAAATAATAATAAAAAAAAGGGGGGAGAAAGAGACAGTGAGGAGGGGTTACAATTCGTATTTGGCCCTTTTTACTTGGTTTTCGGACTTTTTCAAAAAAAAATTAGGACACCAATTTTGGTGAACACTACACACACGAGGAAATCCACGAGAAGGTTAATCCTACGGGCGCTTCTTCTCCTATACATGTGGCGTCACTATACAACTTCACACTACCAAACTGTCTACCTAACCTAAGGCTGTCCAGTGAAATATCATTGATATAAAATACGTATATACCATAATTACTCTTGAATGACCTTGGCTCTTTGCTGATAGAGCTGACCACATAAAATTAGAATAAAAAATAACAACATTTCTTTTTATCCCTTTCTTCTTGAAAAGAATACAAACCAAGATGAAAACCTTATAAAGTCATGTTTAGCTTGACGCTATACATTCAAAAGTTTTGTTGGACGGTATCATTGGCAGTGGGTAGGGGTATACTTGGATGGCATATCTAACTATCTAAGACGACAGAAAAGAAAACATACGACGGGAAGAAATACAACATCTATTCCTGATACTTCTCCAATTAAATATTTGGAATCACAACAAGTGAAAGTCTCAGAATTCTAGGCTCTTGTACCATTTTTATTCAAATATAAAATGAAAAACATTTTTTTACAGATAAGACGTAGAATACTGTAACCATTATTAACTTTATTATAGTAAGCTTTGTCTTTTAAGTGCAAAGAATTGTCATCCTATTATTCTTGCTTGTATGGAAACAAGATGAGTATTAACCGCCTGTTCAAACTTTTCTTTTCTTGTTATTGTTTGTCTACAAAGCAAGAGGAGGGGTATGAATTACAGAACTCATCAAGCTGCCACTTTCCATTATCTCTTTTGCTCCATAAACACCGTGATCTCCAACACCGAGTTCAACACAGCCAATTTCATTTAACAAAAATGAAAAACTGATGTCAGAGTGATTACCTAAGGCTTGTTTCTCTCTTCTCGATTGAGCTAATTGCTCTCAAGCTATCCTTACCCTCAGCAGAATATTTGTTCCCACTGTTTCTACAGTATATTTATACGAATAGGCTTTTGCCTTACTGAACCCTTGAGACTGTTGTATTCAGCTTTACATATGAAAAAAGCTTTAAGTCGACAAAAAGTAAAGTAGGAGACGCGTGAATTTATAGGGGAGATTGAATGTTGCCGTGCATGATTTAATGTTCTCACTGGTACTATTTATGCTTATACTGTTATTCTAGTTTCTATGGCTACTCTTATCAGATACACAACAGAGATATATAATTTTGGATGTATGCTTTACTATAAGATTACGGTTATCTAATTAAACACGTCAGAGATTTTGACAAATCCGCAAACATCTTCCAAGACTTGCTCTCTCTCTTCTGAAATCTTCAAGCTCATCATTATCTACAAACAACATTACATAACATTGAACCTTTTGTTTCATGCAAAGCTTTTCTGAGCCCTCTATTGGGTCTTTACCGATAATGATCCTTTCTAACTCTGTAAAGATTTCCTCCATTATGCATTCAGGGACAGGAACAGTGTCAAGTTCGGTCAATTTAGTAAGATCTCTATATTGAAAAGCGAAATTTTCCATTTCTGTACTATTATTTGAGCTCGTGTGGTCATCGACGTATGATTGAATAACGAGCTTATAGTTAATGAAGTCGTCTAAAAAGAAATCTATAATGGTCTGGCTTATTTTTTATTTTGTCCAAAAAAGAAAAAAGGAAGTGTCTCATTTTCGATCTCAGATCACAACACTGTATTAAGAGCTATTCTTTGCGCTCTTTTCTCTTTTATACAACAAACAATGGGAGTGGACATTCTCGAGTTTTGTACGCCTCCTATTCCTGGCCAGCAGCACAAATATTATGGAAATGCACATAATAACTTTATAAAGCTACCAATTACCATACCTCCTCACACAAAAATACAAAAGACACCAATCAACAACAGTCTACACTCTATCGCCACTTTGGGTGACTTGAATTTGCTGAAACAAATCTTGCCTCTTTTACGTACACCACAAAAGGCTGTTAATGAACCTCACCACTCAACTGGACTAACTCCTTTACATTTTGCTGCTTCAAGAGGACATTTGACAACCGTTCAGTGTCTTGTTGATGACTATTCAGCTTCTATCGATGTTAAAGATAGAGAAGGGGAGGTAACAATAATAATAATGATAACTAAATAAAAAGAAAGAAAATTAATACGTACACTTTAGACGGCATTATCCAAAGCTGCCTATAATGGTCACCATAATATAGTTCAATATCTTATATCAAAAAAGGCTGACGTTCACCTGAAAGATAAAGATGGCTGGACGGCGTTACATAATGCATGTGCCCGGGGATATTTATCCATTGCACGTTTGCTTGTTCAACAAGGAGCACGTGTCGATGTCAAAAGCAAAATGGGGCATACTCCACTCAGTAAAAAGAAAAAGAATAAAAAGGGAGAGAGAAGGATTGGACATTTGTTGATACTTATCTTCTTGTATAGTAAATGCTGCCTCAAAGGGGTATACAAACATTGTCGAATATCTCCTGACTGAAGCACACGCCAACCCGCTTATCAAAAATAATTTTGGAGAAGCTGCATATGATGTGAGTGCAGCAGCTGGAGAATCCTATATCTGCGATATGCTCTATAAGGCCGGAAAATCATGGTGGGAAATGCAGCATTCGAGCCCATATCAGTTGCTTGACTATCACGTTACTGTCATGGTTATTCTTCATGAAAATGAAAAATCGTCCTCGATGCTTGGATTGCTATCAAAGCCTCACTTTTCACCCAATACAGTAACAAAACATGGTCCTTGGTCGATTTATCCCTCGGGCCAATCCTGTACAAAGGACCAAGTTCGGCTACCCCAGAATGATCATGGTAGTACCGACTGGTTTTGGTTGATTGATTGGCAAATTGACTACAGCAATCCACGGGTTGATGCGGCATCCGGGTGGCAATACGCTCGCTCATTTGATGAACCAGATGAAAAATGGGTACCCACGATGCCCACAAGCGGATACGGATGGGTCAGACGTAGGAAATGGATTCGGGTGATGAAACGTAGGATGGATCTGTTAAAGGGAAACCACTTGGGCAATATCATGAATGACGATCAGGACGACTACCTATGTAAAGCAGAAGATATCGTGCAAAATTCGAAAACAGAATCTGTCTCGTTGAATGCAACTAGTAAAGTTCAACAACTTACGGTAGAATTGCGTTCGCTTGAAGAAGCCGTTCAGTTGCTTCGTTCAGGCATGAAAAATGACGGAAACCAGTATAGGTTACAGCAAGCAAATACTCTTGTCACGTCATATACCCTGCAAATTGAAAAGTTAAATTCTCAGATAGCTCAACTTGCTCCAACGGTAGCTACGCCTATATCGCCTGTAATAAAGCAACATAACTCGGAACTTGCTCGTGAGTTGGGCTTTGCCGAGAACAGACATTCATCATCTGGCGTCGGCAACACGGCAACGACGACAGCAACAACAGTAGCAACGGCGGCAGCAGCAACAATTACGACAACTGGGAACAATACAACTGATTTGGATTCAAATCCTTGGTCGAGAGATACGACCATCATCGTGAACTGGCAAGACAATTTATTCGAAAGCTCAAGTCTTAGTCATGTCGACCTTGTTGGTCATGGAACAGAAGAAGAAGAACCAAGTCGAGAACCAGAAAGAGAGCAAGTGAAGAAGTATACTTGGGAATTAGATACAGATGTGAAAGAGTGCAGAGGTTGTAAGCGACGATTTGGTCTCTTACTTCGAAGACACCATTGCCGATGCTGTGGTACGATTCATTGTGACCGATGTTCGACCTCTCGTGCTTACCTTCAACCATCCCAGATCCTACAGGATCCTCGTGGACCCTTTGAGTCATTGGAAATCCTTTCGTCACAGCATCAACGTGTTTGTGATAATTGTTATGCTAAACTTGGTGGCTTGCCTCCTTCATAAGATACCATTTTTTAACCTAAAAAGAGACAATCACGAAGCTCTCAAGAGATCACTGAAAGATTTTATTGGACAAACTCCATTTTCAGTAGAGATCATTACAAATTTACAAGTGAAACAAAATAAAAATTCTTTGTGGACTTTTTCAAAAAGAGACAATTACAGAGATTTGATGAATATGGACCACCTTATTTACCTTCCCTCATTCTGATTGAAAGACTGCTGATGAGATATCAAAAACATATTAAAAGGGCTCTTCTAGATGAGAGCTTTACTCTTATGCCTTATGTTATGTACAAAAGCTTGAATTAGAGTTTGATGGTCTTTATAGTTTTGAACAATTATTACCCTGAGACGGTGTTAGAATTAACATTGTTGACCTTTTCAGTCCCCTTTCACACCAAGAACCTGCTTTGGAGAATGAGGTGTTAGGGCTGGTGACGAGGTGTTCATTGCTCTAAGTTCACCGTCTGTCTGCTTTCCTTTTTTTATGATCACATACAAAGTTTTAACATTGCTGAGACTGTTTTGTTATTGCCATTTCAAATATAAGATTCGTATTAGTAAAAGTTATAGAGAAACAGAAACATTATCATCATGATAAGCACGCAAGATTGTCATTTGTTCTTCAAAGAACGTTGTACAAAAAAAGGGCAGGCAGAAATTTAAAACAAAAAGCACTGCCATGACAAAACTCTTCTACTAGTTATTATTTTGCTAGAATTACTGTGTCAATGAATATTTACGAAGAAGGTATTGTTCCAGAATATTATGTTATTTTATTTCTAATTATCAAGATAATTTGATTAGCAGTTCGAAAATACATCCTTTTCGCACAGCGATTAGATTTACTAATTTCTCTTTCAAGATTCGTGAACATCAATAAGAAACTAATTGCCGAAGAACTAGCAACTAAAGGTCAGGACCTTGAGCAGCTTAAATCAACCTGGGGAGGCCGATTCGGAAAAATTGCTAAACAGTCGTTGAAAGAAAACGAGTTTATGCTTCAATTATGCACGTTAATAAATATATGCGAATAATGAATAATATCTTTGTCTAAATTATAAAGTCTTTTATTGTCAAAAGAAAAGAAAAGCGATGATGTAGTCAAACTGTTTATTGTCTTTTGCCAATTATATTTTTATTGACCGACAACCATTTTTTTTAGAACCGCCAATTGGAATCATACTTATCCCAATCATTGTTGCCTCCGTTCCAGGTTCCGATGAGGTGGTAAAGGCTCTCTCGTGCCACGCTTTATTTTCAGATAACATATAATAAAAAAAAATGTTTTCAATTCCTATTTCTTTAGATCTTTTTCGCGCCGCGCATCGTGGTAATAATATGTCCAATGATCAATCTGAACAATTGTTTACAAGAGAACAAGTCGAACAAATCATTGAGGAAATGTCAAGAAAAATCAATCTTGACAGATCAGGTGAAGATCCAACAAACCTTCCAAACGAAATCTTGGAAGAACTAGAGAACAGCTCGCCCATCAATTTACAGAAAAACATCAAAGAATTTGTTAAGAACCTTCCAAAGTACGAAGGTAGTGAATGGACCAACAATGAGATCTTCAACAAAGAGTTCCACAGAGAGCTTAAAAGGAAAACTGTGGATGCCCTCCAAAGTACAAACGCAGTATACAAGGGAGCTGATCGACTCATCATCGCAGGAAGAGCAGCAACTGGCCTTTACGAAGAATGTCAACAATTTCTTGAATCAGGAGGAAGCGAAGAACAATTCTTTCACATTATGGAAGGCATCAGACAACTTGCAGTTTACTCATACGCCACGAGTAAGACCACCAAAAGTGAAGCTAGGACAATGGCGACCAAGGCGCTCAGGCTCCCCGATAGCGTCAAACACTTGGAAGAAGAACCTAGTGACAAGGCCTTGGCCTTGGGCAGAGAAGAGGTTGAAAGAATTTTTCAAGCCAGATACGAACAGTCCATCCTCAGAAATGCAGTGGGACGACAACAACAATAACAGAGGATTTGGACGTGGAACCTTCCACAGGTCTTTTTTTTGGACGCAGCAAGGGCCAAATACACACGGAGGCCCAAAGCTCCAGTCAACCCCAATAATACCGCCATCAACGCCAGCGTCTTTCCCCACGACAACGGCGCATTACGCCATACTGAGCGATGGTATATTACCAGGGGGTCGTCTCCAACGTTTTTCAGAACAATGGAAACGGACAATACTTCATTCATGGCCTGTGTCAGTAGTAACACAAGGATATCAACTTCAGTGGAACCACAAACCTCGACCATGGAAATATACTCCGATGAAGTTCACGGAAGAGGAGAAAGTAGCAGTGGACGAAGCAGTGAAGAAATTTCTGAACTCAGGCATAATCGAGCGTTCCCCGTCTCAGTGCAAGAGCTACCTATCGAAATTCTTTACTGTGAAAGAGCCAAACAAACGCAGGCC